ATGCCAATAGGGGTGCCCTTGAAAGCGGTAGACTGTGATCCCCTTAGTGTGAATAACTTGCTCTGGATGAAACCCAAAAGACAGATTGGCGTTGCAAAAATCCAATGACATGCCTTAAGGTGTGGAACACAGTAAAATGCTCTGGAAGCTTGTGGTTCCCTCATCTTCTACTCCTCTGCTTTCTCAAAAACCCTGCGTTCAATCTCCTTGTTACATAATGGGATTCCCCATAGCTCTTCCACACCAACCTACAATTACATGGATGATCTTGGTGTTTCCTTGGAACCCAACATGTGGTCCCAGATATGGCATACTATCAAAGCCTTATCTCTGAACGGGGGTGCAGCAACTACAAGGTACTATTTTGCTGGTATTATGTCCCCAACAGGTTGGCACATTGCGATTTCTGTAAGCTCTCCCAATTGCTTTAAAGGTTGCCCTGAACTTGACACCTTCTTATATACGCGGTGGTCATACCATATACCCCTTACCTCTATTGAATAATTATGTGCAGAGACTCCCCACACCAGGGGTTTGATCTCCTTGTTATATCATGGGATACTCCATAGCTCTTCCACACCAACCTACAATTACATGGATGATGTTGGGGTTTCCTTGAAACCCGACATTTGGTCCCAGATATGGCATACTATCAATGCCTTATCTCTGAACATGGGTACGCCAATTTCAAGGTACTACTTTTCTGATATTATGTCCCCACCAGGTTGGCACATGCGATTCCTGCATGCTCTCCCAATTCCTTTAGAGATTGCCCTGAACTTGACACATTCTTATACAAGTGGTGGTCATACCCCATAGCTTAAACCTCATGAAAGAAAGTCTATGCAATGCCTCATACTCTGCTACGGGTCTCTTTGCCTATAAATCCTAGCGAGGCACTTGTTAAAACCAGAAGGCCGAACTAAGTACAAATTTATCATGACACACATTCTAACAGACTCCACTGGACCTATTTTTCAATGAGAAGCTTTCAGCTAAACTGCTTAACACAATGCCAACATTTATAAAGGTGTGGGACCCATGGACAACCTGTAAACCTCAAGATTCTGTCCGTTGGTGGTTAAACATTTGAAGGCCATGAACACCCTTAGCTGTCTGATGTATGATCTGGCCCACATCCCCTGGGAGCCTACTCTCATTCTATCCTTTGCTTCCCTGACCCATTCCCTCCCTTAACCTTTGAAGATAACATTATATACTGGGTGTTGCCTCTTAAAGCGGACCTTTACCCATATCTTTAAAATAACAACAAACACACCTTTTAGAAATGTTTAGTTATAACAATCTACAAACACATACTTCTAGATGATTGCAGGCTTTGTATTCTTTGCATACCTTATATCTCTTTTCTTCCCCAGTCTTCTGACAATGGCCATGTTAAACAAGGGCAGATTACTAGCTCTCCTATTACTTCCTTGATTTCTGGCACTAGACGTGCGACTTGGACATTTGACCATGCACATCATCTCAGGGGAGGAAAATGCCTTTCCCTGAGATCTCATGAGATTACAGATGAGATTTCCCAGCAATGCTCTGCTGATGACAAGGCAACCCCAGTGTGCGTTGCTTTGGCAAACTGAAGTCATTTTGCCCTTTCAAAGCAGGAAGTGAATGGTCTGCACGTATAAGTATTTCATAATCACAGCATTTTACACCCGACATGTCTATGTTATTATTATTAATCATCATACATAGAGGGATGCATTTGATTTTTGAGTGTAAAGGTCTGCTTTAATCCCTACTTGTTGTATGATAAGATGTACAGTATGTGCGTATGCCTTAATACTTGCTTGTTTACGAAGAATATGTACGCCCACTTTTTATCATTGTGATCTCATTCCTTGAATGTTACTTGTTACATTTCAAACTTTTGAGATTTTTCAAACTAATAAAAGAAACACTAGATTCCAGACATGCACAAACACTAATCTAGACAGTAAAACAATCACATGCTTAGTGTAAACCATTTTAATTCATACTGGTTGCTGTAAATCCAAATAATTTATTTTTACATTTTATGTGATAGTTTCGGCTGAAACAACACAGTATGCCACGGAAAGTCAGAATGTCCCAATAAAAATTAACAGTTGAGATTTGTAGCTGGTACAGACAATGTTTTAAACGATCTTTATACAGTATACATACATTTCTAAAATTAACAAAGTTATTCAAAAAGGAAAAATAGAAACATTTTGTTTTATTTGAAAAAATTGTTATAATGCAAATACAAGCAATAATTGCTAGGAAACCCCACTTACCATAAATCATCCTCTTACAAATGAATTTACATGAGAAACAGCACTTTAAATATATTTACTAGGGCACAAAACAAGGTGCAAAGTGCAGTAACCAGTTGCAGCCAGTAAGCAATAATCTTGTACTGTATTAGCTCTCGTTCACGCTAGTGCGAATTGTCATGCATCTGCTGTAGTGCTACAAGGCAGGGCAATGGAAATTACATTATTCTATTGTATATGGTGCTGATTGACACCTATGCAATATTATGTAGTATAATGTTTGGAAAGGTAAGGATGCTTCTTTTGGTTCAATTTTTGCCCAATAGACTTCAATAGGAGCTCGTAAAATGCATTTTTGTGCATTTTAGCACATGACAACAAGCCGCCCCTAACAAACTATACTTATTTCACCTTCATTAGCCAAAACAAAAAACACATAGCCCATAAAAACGCTTCAACAAAAATGTGCTAAAACGCATGTGAATGCAGATACACAAGTGTGAACAGAGACTTGATAGAGCAACAGTGAGATTACATTGGCTGCTCCCAGTTTTGCACTTTGAACATCAAGTTAACCTATTGCACTGCCTTTTTAAAGAGACCCTGACAAACATACTATCTGAAGTTATCTGCAATACAAGAGAGGATGGAGGTCAGAGGATGGAGGCCCAGTACATGGCTGGGGACACAGACATTTGATACTTCTGGAAATTTTAAATGCCAAAGAATCTTACAGAGGAGGCAGCGCTGGGATTGAGGGAAAGTAAGAGACACAGGCCACTGGAAAGTTCTGTATAATTACTCTTCCTTTTGTAGGAAGCTTCAGATAGGAAGTCTCATTAAATAGGTCCTATGGCAGGGTTTTACTGGGTCTCTTTAAATAGGTCTTATGGCACTTCCCCACCTAATGGATATCTTTCCTGAAAGAATCATGGAGGCTACCAACGCTGTCCTCTTATTTTGTAAATGCCATTTACCTGGCTGTGATGCTGACCCTTTCAATGCAGAATAAGTATGGAGATAATGATTTCTGACTTTCTCGATATGCATGCTTGTCCTAGGTCCATGATTCAGAAAGTAGATGTATTTTCATAAGGAGGCCAGGAAAAGCAGCCCCTTTATTTCTATTAGAAGAGGTTCACTTTAACCCTTTTACTACTGGAACTTTTTTTGTTTGCCACATATAGGTTAAAATGTCAATTTTTTTAATAAAAATGTCATGCAGAATTACATTATTTTCTATGTTGCAGGATATTTGTGCAAATGTTTGTGAAATTTATATGATCTTAAAAATGTATGACACACACAATGTAATCTACAACTTTTCTGCTAAATTAAAAGATAAATGACATAAATGATGGCCCTAGAATTAATTATCTCCCTTCAGCGTATCCAGGGATACCTAATATGTCTTGCATATTTGGAACAGAGTCATGTACAGAGTCCCCGATCTGCTGTTTTCCTGGCCCTGATGGCTGGGAAATGACAGCGCTGAACCAGAAAGTGCTCAGAGCTGAACGCTTCCGGGTTCATTGCCCAAAGGGGAGATTGGAGTACAGATAGTTCTCGATCTCTGCTTTCTATATGTCTATCAGTGTTATTCGGGTCTTGGCCTCTTAGAAAAAGCAGTGGTAACCATATGGTGGGGATGTGCCACTAACAGGGCTGTGTAAGTGATCCTGAATCATTGCAGCCACCCAGAAAACTTCTACAAGACAGTGTCAGACCAGCATAAAAGGTAACAAAAGCTTAGGACTGCTAAAGCGGCTGTAAGTTTGTTTGCATCATTTTACTGCCCTAGTGTAGTGTTTGCAGTAGCGCCAGTAAAAGGGTTGAAGGGTTAGCATAGCTACAGCTGAAATCGACTTCAATAATTAAGCTTTTAAATTTTATTACGTGTATCTTGTTATGGAAAAAGAACACTGTAGATGTCCAAGTGTGGGGACCTGGACCTGCATGATGTGCAGGTTCGGATTAGTGTTTAGCTGCGTGCGGCCGCATCTTCCCATAGGGATGAACAGGCGACTGCATGCAATTACATGCCGCATCTGTCCCTCCTGAAATCAGGTCTCTGCATGGGTGTGCATGCAGTATGAATGTGCACCCGTGTGAATGAGGCCTCAGGCTCATCTGACTGATAACTTAAGTTTGTCCACACCTACACAGCAAGAGATAACAAAATAAACAATATCTGTAACACAGCTTTGCTCATACTCTTAAATGGCTCATTTAGGTTAGACAACTTGGGTTGAACTATAGAAGCACACCAGGATTCAGTAGTTCAGTCACACTACTAATTGCTAAGAGCAGTGATCATTCACAAATGGCTCCCTACACTGTAGGCATGCAGCAGCAATTAGTCACACACATTTGAAGAATTTTGTTATCATGTTTGGTTAATCACTACTACATGCTACATGTGTAGCTCATACTATAGGGAGCTATTTGATCCATCTATGACTTATAGCTGCTCTTAGCGATTCATTTCTATAGCATGACTGAGTTACTTAAAAATCTAACTTAAGTTTAAGATTTCAATTGCCCTTGTCGATAGGAGAATAATTTATGTGTGCTAGGAATATTACTATCATCACATCTCTTCTTGGGTTTCTTACAGAATTGCTCTTAGTAGCCTTCACCACTTCCGCCGAAAGGTTAATCCATGAAATCACCACCCTTTCTTTAAACAAATATTTTTGTCATACATACTTCCATCAGTACAGCTTCTGGGTCTGCTGATTTGTAAGTGTCTCTCAGTGAACCCTTCAATGCTAATTGGTACTCTAGTGAATTATTATTAGATATCAAGTTTCTGCTGTGTGACTATCCACAGTCGGTTCTTGTGTGTTTGATGTCTGTTCTGCTTCTATAAGGTGATTGCCACAAGCCATCCGGATATGTTGAGGTCTAGCAGGTATGGGTAGTAAAATAGTTCCAGGCAAGCCAATGTGTTGTCGGGCAGCCAGTATAGCATCCTTTATGGCAAAGAACACAGAGGAGCCGAGAAAGAGTGACACCTCTTCGAGAGCCTAAACAAACACAAGAAGAGTTAGAATCTGTAGTATTTGTAACACAGAACACAAGAAATAAAATCAGTCCATGACACTTAGCAACCCATAGCTTGTCTTATCCACATGTCAGTTATTTATTGTACAGTTGTGCAGTTTTATGAAGTTTATTTAGAGGATACAGAACAGTGAAATATGACATTTCAGGTTTACTATGGTTTGCTGCCTTTGCACATTGCTCTGTGCCATAAGATAAAGGATATATGACTTCTGAACTGTCTTTTCAATGCATTTTCTCTCTGTGTAATGTGCTGTTATTCAAGCTGTTAGGAAAGGTTTAATCTCTTCTGTGTTTGCTAACACAATAGGAGTATTTGTTGTTTTGTTTGTAGCTTGGTAGTAAAATAGAAATAACCCTTTACTCCTGTAGTGCCCTAGTGGAAAGGGTGCTATTAAATTTAGTGATGATCAAATTGAATATGTTTTGATACTAATTTGTAGTTTTGGTTCATGTGGTTTTCCCCCTAAACAGTCTATCATTGCTGGCCATCTGTCTGCTCCTAGAGGCACTGCAGGTTGTGCCCTGGTGATAGAACAGAGCAGCCAATGGGATTACTATGAGTGGCTATCCCTCTCCAGCCAATCACTGTTGAACGATAGCCAGTGGTGCATGCTGTGGGAGGAGATAAATACTTGGGGGTGGACCATGTGAGTTCTCACATCCTCCCCCAGGCCCAGCCTGTGGGGAGGCTGCGCTGGACTGCCTGAGCTGCCTAGGCCTAACAGCCATATAATCACCCTGGAGCCCACTGGCAGCAGGTCCAATGGTTGCTACTGCTAAAGACAAAGATCAGTAACTTCAAGTAATGCAGTGTCAGGTGTTCAACCTGCTGTGCATGGAAACAGTAACCACACTGAAAGGTAATGGAGTCTACATCTGCCTAGATGATCCTAACCCTCCTCTACCTCTTTTCCTGAAGTTCTGCAAATAAAAGTTTCAAGCATCATAACTACAGTCTCGACCTCACTTCCATTGATCACCAGAAGGGTGGTAAGTGCTGATGGGCAGAAGTGAGCAAATGTGTCCCTAGACAAGAAGAATCGGAGCTGTCGTAACCCATAGCAACTGACCCTAGTAACTCAAGGTACGCTGGTGTGCTGTGGATCCATAATATAGGTTTCATATAGAGGAAAGACAGGGATACCCGTTAGTTCAGTTTACTGTAGATCACCTCTTCAGAGCCACCGGTAGTGTGATCCTGTGCTGGGATAGCGCTGACTGGGAGGGGGGAACGCTACACTCCATTTAAAAATTTTAGAAGCAAAGGTCCTGCCTAAATGCAGGTATCTCAAGGTGCCTGCCATTGATTTTATTAGCGAGAACACTCTTATGTGCCCCTCTTTGATTTATTTTCCCTTAGTTACTGGAGTCTGATTTGATGACTAAAATTGCAGAAACGTCACCAGCACACCAAATCCTTATAGGATCAAAGTCCGTAGATTTTATTGCAAACTCATGTCAGTTACACAAGCGCTTTCGGGGCCACACAGGGTCCCTTCATCAGGCATAGCAATGACACAATGAGTTTACCATGAGTGTCATTGCTATGCCTGATGAAGGGACCCTGTGTGGCCCCGAAAGCGCTTGTGTAACTGACATGAGTTTGCAATAAAATCTACGAACTTTGATCCTATAAGGATTTGGTGTGCTGGTGACGTTTCTGCAATTTTCTGTATTTGGCGGCGCCATCAGCAGTCACTCCGAGCACCCCTCCCCGATCACGGGGTCATACCGGTAAGGAGTGCAACTAACCTTTTCTTTTTTCTTTGATTTGATGACTAATCTCCACCAACTTCCATCCCCAAGTCCAATGAGAGTGCCCTTACTGGCCACTGAAGTAGTCTCATTAAATATTGGAATGACAAGTCACCTGGCTTAGCCATGAAGTAAGGGAAAGTAAGGACCAGTAAAAAAAAAAAAAGTGAAACTAAATCAGAGAGGGGTACTTAAGAGGCTTTAATAGTTAATAAAGTTAATTGCAGTCAAATTATGGAATCGGCTTTTAGAGAGAACTTTAACTTTTAAAGCTTTTAAATTAAGGAAAGGTTCTTTAAATGGCTAGCTTCTATGTTTATGTTCTTTTTGCTTTTGGTAGTAAAATGAATTGGTTAGCAGAGCCAAAAACGAACATTTCAGTGACCCTGAGGCCACCAAACCACGTTTCTCATGATTCTCAGGGACTTCAGTAGTACTTGGATCTCTACTGGAAAGCAGTTCTGGCAGAATTAGATGTGATGTGTAATATGTCAAGTGTTATATACAGTAAATGTTTGCAATAAATAATGTCTATTGGTAGTGCTGGGACAAGGTCCTCTGGCATCCAAGCCAAGGATTGCAAAGTGCGGTCCCCAGTTCTTATTTTTAGTGCTACAAAAACTAACAGGAATAAAAGAAAAAAAGCTAATAACAGTTAACTAAAATGAAAACTATAAATTTAAGGGTTAAAAAAACGAAATAGGGATAACTACAATTTTTATTATGTATTTTATAAAGCCACTAGAATTATGTTACCGGTACATTTTTCTGGTACTACCAAAAAAATGAATGCAAACTTAAAAAGTTTACATACAAATGATAAAAAAACTGAAAAGAAAAAGTACTAATGGAAACATTTAATAGAAAGTAATTCGGGTTAGTAAGGGGCTAAATATAAGTTTTAAAAAGTTATTATTAAAAATATTTATTTTTACTATACTATATTTTTGTAAAATATTGGTGAAGACTTCTTGGTGAGAAGTCTTCAATAAAAGCTCCTATTTTCTGATTCCTGGGTTGTATTCTAGTTTTAGGGCAGCCGAGCTGAACCAATTTAATTTCGCAAATGACATTGTTTGCCCAGAAGTAGTTTTCAGCCCAGACATCAGCAAATGGTACCCTCCATCTAAGGGTTCTCAGACAGTCATATGTTTTTTGAAACAAATTCTCTTTGAATTACTAAACTTTTTTCCAACTTGCCTTGGGAGAACATTTCACATTCGGGTTGGGAGATGATGGTAGTAGAGAGACACTGAGCTGTTCAGGCGCATATTTACTGCTCACAGCAGCTGCTTGAATGGACTGCCCTCCATTAGTGAAAGATGATGGCAGCACATACTTCAAATCTTCATTTATGTAAAGGCCAAGTCCTTGGTTTAATGCATTTTTTACCTAGAAAACATAAAATAGAAAAACATGGATTTCATCTTCTGAACACTCCAAGAAGTGACATTACATAAGGGACGGTTTATCTTTACAAATGGCATTTCTACATTCTTCAGTGAAAGCAAGTGCCTGATAAGTGACACCCCACAGCACGAGTATGTGTGACGATACGACTCTCAGCCTCAAACTGCAGAGAGATTTCCCAGCTCGCAATACAACAATCTAAGGCAAGCAGGTCGGGAGTGATTGTCACTGGGGTTGGTTAACACTAGGGTTGCACAGATACCAAGTACAGTACTCGGTACAAGTACGAGTACATGTACCGATACTTTTGAGCTCTAAGACTAGACTAGAGAAAAATGCAAAAATTAGGAGGCAGCGGTCATTTGTAAGATTTAAATTAAGGAAAGGTTCTTTAAATGGCTAGCTTCTATGTTTATGTTCTTTTTGCTTTTGGTAGTAAAATGAATTGGTTAGCAGAGCCAAAAACGAACATTTCAGTGACCCTGAGGACACCAAACCACGTTTCTCATGATTCTCAGGGACTTCAGTAGTACTTGGATCTCTACTGGAAAGCAGTTCTGGCAGAATTAGATGTGATGTGTAATATGTCAAGTGTTATATACAGTAAATGTTTGCAATAAATAATGTCTATTGGTAGTGCTGGGACAAGGTCCTCTGGCATCCAAGCCAAGGATTGCAAAGTGCGGTCCCCAGTTCTTATTTTTAGTGCTACAAAAACTAACAGGAATAAAAGAAAAAAAGCTAATAACAGTTAACTAAAATGAAAACTATAAATTTAAGGGTTAAAAAAACGAAATAGGGATAACTACAATTTTTATTATGTATTTTATAAAGCCACTAGAATTATGTTACCGGTACATTTTTCTGGTACTACCAAAAAAATGAATGCAAACTTAAAAAGTTTACATACAAATGATAAAAAAACTGAAAAGAAAAAGTACTAATGGAAACATTTAATAGAAAGTAATTCGGGTTAGTAAGGGGCTAAATATAAGTTTTATATTATTAAAAATATTTATTTTTACTATACTATATTTTTGTAAAATATTGGTGAAGACTTCTTGGTGAGAAGTCTTCAATAAAAGCTCCTATTTTCTGATTCCTGGGTTGTATTCTAGTTTTAGGGCAGCCGAGCTGAACCAATTTAATTTCGCAAATGACATTGTTTGCCCAGAAGTAGTTTTCAGCCCAGACATCAGCAAATGGTACCCTCCATCTAAGGGTTCTCAGACAGTCATATGTTTTTTGAAACAAATTCTCTTTGAATTACTAAACTTTTTTCCAACTTGCCTTGGGAGAACATTTCACATTCGGGTTGGGAGATGATGGTAGTAGAGAGACACTGAGCTGTTCAGGCGCATATTTACTGCTCACAGCAGCTGCTTGAATGGACTGCCCTCCATTAGTGAAAGATGATGGCAGCACATACTTCAAATCTTCATTTATGTAAAGGCCAAGTCCTTGGTTTAATGCATTTTTTACCTAGAAAACATAAAATAGAAAAACATGGATTTCATCTTCTGAACACTCCAAGAAGTGACATTACATAAGGGACGGTTTATCTTTACAAATGGCATTTCTACATTCTTCAGTGAAAGCAAGTGCCTGATAAGTGACACCCCACAGCACGAGTATGTGTGACGATACGACTCTCAGCCTCAAACTGCAGAGAGATTTCCCAGCTCGCAATACAACAATCTAAGGCAAGCAGGTCGGGAGTGATTGTCACTGGGGTTGGTTAACACTAGGGTTGCACAGATACCAAGTACAGTACTCGGTACAAGTACGAGTACATGTACCGATACTTTTGAGCTCTAAGACTAGACTAGAGAAAAATGCAAAAATTAGGAGGCAGCGGTCATTTGTAAGGAGCACACGGAGCTCCTGGGATTTGTACATCTCTGTTTTAATGTACGATTTTGTTTTTATAAATATAAATGAAGGGATGCACAGATACCAGTTTTGCGAGTATGAGTACTGGTACTTGCCGGGTACTTACAAGTACGAGTACTGATACATTTTTGTTTATTGTCATGTGACAGTTTTTTCTAAAACAATACAGACTAATGATTTCAGGACAGTGGCTGAGTACCAGAGCCCGGTCCCAGCTGCAACCGCTGCAACCCTGGTAGTTCTCATGAAAATGCCAAGTATCTGCACTGGTACTCGAAAAGTATCTGTGCATCCCTAGTTAACACCATAGTTAACCCGTTACACGCAAACAATAGCTGGCACCTCGCGTTTTAACAGAAACACACACCATTCCCAGCAAATGCTTTGACAAATCTGACTTTAAACAATTCCTGTGATGCTCACTGTCCCTCCAGACAGGTTTTACATTATGGAAGTGCTCTTCACAGAGATGAGGATTCTTTAATAAAGAAAAAGCTAAATGGTGCAGAAAAACATACAGAAAAGATATTACAGAAAACAGACAAACAATATAACAGTAAAACAAAAAGGGAGAAAGAATGAAATTACTTAACAAAGTCCTGGGTTCTATGGATTGCAGAAGAGTCCAGTCAATGAAACATAAAATGGATCTGAGATATTTTTTTACAGGGACAGCACAAGCCTTTAATTGTACCACAAACCTTTAGTCCTTGTGGTACATGGTGTCAAGTAAACCGGTCACTTTGCCTAGTTCAAAGTAGAGGTTCACTAAAATTGCAATTAACTTGTAAACAGAAATGTATACAATATATACAGTGCATTTAGAAAGTATTCAGACTCCCTTCACTTTTTTTTCAATTTTGGTATGTTGCAGCCTTATACTACAGTTGCTTAAATTCTTATTTTTCTTCTCATTAATCTACACTCAGTACCCTATAATGACAAAGTAAAAACGGAATTTTAGAAATGTTTGCAAATGTATGAAAAACTAAAATATCACATTGGCATAAATATTCCGACTCTTTGCAACAACACTTGACATTTAGGTGCCTCCCATTTCTCCTAATCGTTGCTGAGATGTTTCTACACCTTGATTGGAGTCCACCTGTGGTAAATTAAATTGATTGGACATGATTTGGAAAGGCACACACCTGTCTATAGAAGGCCTCACAGCTGACAATGCATACTGTATCAGGGCAAAAGCCATGAGGTCAAATGAACTGCCTGCAGAGCTCAGAGACAGAATTATTGCAAGGCACAGATCTGGGGAGGGCTACAAAAATGTTTTGCTGGACTGAAGGTTCCCAAGAACACAGTGGCTTCCATAATTCTCAAATGGAAGATGTTTGGCACAACCAGGACTCTTCCAAGACCTGGTCACCAAGCCAAACTGAGCAATCGGGGGAGAAGGGCCTTAGTAAGAGAGGTGACCAACAACCTGATGGTCACTCTGACTGAGCTCCAGATATCTTGTGTGGAGTTGGGACAAAGTTCCAGAAGGACAACCATCACTGCAGCCCTCCACCGATCTGGCCTTTATGGCAGAGTGGCTAGACGGAACCACATGAAAGCCCGCTTGGAGTCTGCAAAAAAGCACCTAAAAGACTCTCAGACTGCGAGGAACAAGATTCTCTGGTCTGATGAAACCAAGATTGAACTGTTAGGCCTCAATTCTAAACGTTATGCCTGAAGGAAACCAATCACCGCTCATCACCTGCCCAATACCATCCCAACAGTGAAGCAGGTGGTGGCAGCATCATGCTGTGGGGGTGTTTTTTAGCAGCAAGGACTGGGAGACTGGTCAGGGTTGAGGGAAAGCTGAATGGAGCAAAGTACAGAGAGATCCTCAATGAAAAACTGTCCCACAGCACTCAGGAACTCAGACTGGGCTGATGATTCACCGTCCAACATGGCAACGATTCTAAGCACACAGCCAAGACAGCAGAGGAGTGACTTAGCGACAACTCTGTGAATGTCCTAGAGTGACCCAGCCAGAGCCCTGACTTGAACCCTATTGAACATCTCTGGAGAGACCTGAAAATGGCTGTCCACCAACAGTCCCCACGCAACCTGACTGAGCCTGAGAGGATTTGCAAAGAAGACTGGCATAAAATCCCCCAATCCAGGTCTGCATAGCTTGTCACGTCATACCCCAAAAACACTCGAGGCTGTAATTGCTGCCAAAAGTGATTCAACAAAGTACTGAGTAAAGGGTCTAAATAATTAAGAACAAGTGATATTTCATTTTTTTCTTTTTAATAAATTGACAGACATTTCTAAAACTCTGTTTTCACTTTGTCATTATGGGGTACGGAAATGTAGATTAATGAGGGAAAAAAGAATTTAAACAACTGTAGTATCAGGCTGCAACATAATAAAAAATTGAAAAAAATGAAGGTGGTCTGAATACTTTCTGAATGCATTGTATATATTAACCCCTTCGTGACGGGAGACGTACAGTGTACGTCAAAAATGTATACTTAGCAGTAGTTGGTCACATTCAGCTAGACTTGTTCTGTAATGTTGAAGACATTTTGACATTTATCCAAGTAGATTCCTCAGTAAAATTACTTGGATGAGTAGCAATCTACAGAACAAGTCCAGCTTAACATGACTAACTACTACCAGGTATGAATACCATGACATGGACAAATTAGAACCTTCACACAGTAAAATGTATCCTTTTGTTAAAATATAGCATATTCTTATGTTGAATTATAGATGAGTGCATTTTTAAAACATAAACTGAGCAAATATATACAGATTTTAACATGTATTTTTGTATTTATTTCTGCACAAACCTGTTCAGTAACTTCAGCCTCATTCATGGTGGATCCAACATCAATCACTACATCAGTTCTTAGATTCTGCAGGGAAAACATAATCCGGTACAATGTCAACTGGGAACATGTACAGGTACCAAAGCCCATAGTTGTGTAACACTTATTCAGTAGCACAAGGCTCCAATTGGAAGAGGTGTTCTGGAAGCTGTGTTCCCACTTGTAATAAGCCTTCAGGTACTTTCTGCATTGTGCTAAGTTCATGAAGTATCATGTCTCACTCTACTCCTCTTATCATAACACGTGTGTATTATGATATAGTAAAAGTGTCAATTATATAAAATAAGAGGACGATCCAGAATACTAGATAAAAATATTGCCATTTAAAAACTCATCCTAAGCCAACAGAAATCATTTTTCATTAGTCTTACTAGACAGCTGAAAGCTGTACCCCCTTAATTGTCTTTTCTGCACCATTGATTAAAAAAAAAAGTGTCATAGAAAATAATTTTTATTTAAAGGCATAGTCCACCTTTTGGAATAAATAAATAAATAAATGCACACACATTAATGAAAGAAAAACAAATGTGCCGTTAGTAATTTTTGCATTGGACCCTTTGAAGCATTCCAACTGCAAACAGTGGATTGTGGGTGCATTCCATAGGCTTCTGTAGACTATTCCCCCAACCCCAGGTCTGTACCAAGGTACAGTTACCATGTTTAATGTCACACCCTAAATATGGGTGCAACATGAAACATGTTCTGAAAAGTGGACTTAGCCTTTAAAAGGAGGGACTGTTGAAGCCAGAAAATATAACCAGTAAAAAACAAAAAAAAACTGCTTTTCTTGTAATAGAGAAGCAATTTTGAACTGGGTACCCAACACTGTTGCAAATTACATCTTTTTTGAGATTGGTGGTTGTTGATGAATGAAAATTGTTGCATGTTACCTTAATTTTCACGCATCGCATGTCAAATAAACTATTATGTTGTAGCGCTTATATTTTATTTGGTGCATAGTACAATGTGTAACTTTGTTGCTCCATTATCCTCTTGGTGCACTACTGCACATCTCTATTGCACCAAATATTAAAAAAACGAATCTTCTGAACCATTACTTATTCGGTGAGGCTTTGTGAGACTTTGAGTGAAAGGTCACACTTGGAATTTTTTTTAACAACTAATGCAATAACCACATTTTTCTTTTCAAACCCTTTAAATTGAACTATTATTTGGTACATCCCAATGTGTAGGTTTCTTTATGCCAATTATGTGGCACACCAGCAATAGTTCATCTGGCCCAGAATGTTTAAGAAATAAAGCATTGCATCATAAAAAATTAGCTCTTTAAGCTTTAGGGACAGTCAGCAGACTGGTGAAACATGGGAACAAAATTATTTAGCCTGCATTCTTTAAAAGAAATTGTTTATAAACAATTGTGTGCACCTGAAAAGATTGAACAACACATTTTAGAAAGTGGCCCAAAAGGATACAGTACATTATTATTGTGAGCTCTCGCTCTCTTTCTCGTATCCCTCTTCACCACGTGCCTGTCGTTTCTCATGTAAAATGTGAACTGTGGGCACTCAATAAGACTAACAGAAAATAACATAAATTCTTTACAGTTAGAGCGGTTAGGGTCTGGAACTCACTGCCACAGGCGGTGATTTCAGCAAATAATGTGGATTTATTCAAGAAACGTTTGGACGATTTCTTAAGGGACCGCAATATACAGGGGTACAGGTACTCCTAGAATGAGATTCTAATAGGTTGGACTTGATGGACTAATGTCTTTATTCAACCTCAAATACTATGTAACTATGTAACATAAAAGTGCTGAATATGAACATAAAAATTAAAGGTGGTTTGCTAAAATGTGGCTTCTAAAATGATGTCCTGCATCAGCTGCGTTTATTAAAATGTACAGATTGCTGTTGCTTAGGACTAGGGATGCACCGAACTTTCGGCCGCCGAAACATATCAGCCGAAAATGGCACTTTGGGCAAAATGGCAAAAGTGCCATCGTTCGGCAAAAATGAGGGTGCATCCCTGGTTTCTCTCTGTCCGTCTCTGGTGTCCCCTCTGACACAGTGCAGGGTCGCGTGAGGAAGAGAGAACCTGTCACAAGGGTCCAAATGCGGTGCGGGGCTCCTCCCGCACCGCCTCACTCAGCCTCCTGTGACAGATCAGGAGAGCGGTGTGGGGGATGAGACAGCTGTCGGCTGTCACAGGGGGCCAGCAGTGCAGGGGAGGAGTCAGCTGTCACAGGAGGCCAAGCTCTCCTCCCCGCAGTGCTTGCTCAGCCTCCTGTGATCGTCAGGAGAGCGGTGTGGGGGTGGGGATAGCTGTCGGCTGTCACAGGAGGGTGGGCCGGTGGTGCAGGGGAGGAGTCAGCTGTCACAGGTGACTGAGCTCTCCTCTCTGCAGCGCTCGCTCAGCCTCCTGTGACATCGAGTCAGGATGGAGAGCGAGGTACAAACACTCAGTGATCGCTGACTGCTTGTACATAATTGAGGACATAGTATGTTTACCGTGTCCCAAATTGTGAATGAATGGGAAGTGATTGACATCACTTGCTGTTCATTCATGATTGTGGACATGGTAAACATACTATCTCCATAATGTATGAAGGAACAGGAACATCAGTATAGAGGCTTCCTGTTCATGTATAACAGAGGATGCAGAAAAAGAGATTGAGGACTCTGTGTCCTCAATCTCTTTTTCTATTTTAAAAATATGCAATGAACCAATGCCATGTTTGGGGACATTCAAGGGGTTTTAAAGAAGATGAAATTCTGGGGCAAGTAAAATCGCCATTTTATTGCAACATTACGTTTTTCCACTTATTCTTAGTAGTCGTACTTCAGCGAAAGTCAAACTAAAACTTCAAGAATGTATAAAACCTGCAAAGATAATTTGTACCTTGTGGTTTCCTGTGCGGCAATCTAGCTCCACTTCAGTGCATGCTGCTCCAAATATAAAATCTGGATTTTGTGTACCCGTCTTCAGTTCCCAATCAGAGACTTGGTCAGGAGACCTATAAAGAAAGATTCAATAGCGGGGTCTGTAGTGTCTCTTGTATGGCCAACAAATACAAAGTATAAAAATAATATACAAAGTCTAAACAATAAAATAAAATGAACAATTCATGTTTTACAATACCGCATGCATTCTGTGAATCTACAGTAACATATTTGTAGACTGTTGTATACAAATGTTGCAGCTCTGAGGGACACTATCTGTAAGGAGTTTGCATGTTCTCCCTGTGCTTGCGTGGGTTACCTTCGGGTACCCCAGTTTCTTCCCCCACTCCAAAAACATGCTGGTAGGTTAATTAGCTCCTGTCTAAATTGGCCATAGTGTGCGTGTGAGATAGGGACCTTAGATTGGAAGCTCCTTGAGGGCAGGGACTGATGTAAAGCGCTATATAAATACCTGTAATAAATCAGAAGATCTGTAATTTTACACAAGTGACTCAGAGACAAGCACCATTGCCGGGCATATCTGGGTCCTAAAAGTGTCTTCTTATCAGGACACTAGCTAGGAAACTATGCATAGTGTATTATACGTATTCATTCAATATATTTGTTGAACGATTCAATTTAATAAAGACTTTGGAATATAATTATAAAGATAAGGTGAATCCAGGCATATTTTATGGTTTGGTGCAAAACTTAAAAGATAAGGTGCTTACTTATTAATATCAGTTAAAAGCAGTAGATTTGCTATGACATGGTAAGGAGCCTGTACTACCTTCAATGCACTTCTTCAATGCTAATTTGCCCACCCTCTTCCCACATTACTGTGTTAAGCTGATCATACACTAGTTTTTTGGGTCCTTTGATTTTCAGTTGCAAGGATGTCAGATACAAGTGGCAGGTATGGCAACCCATGGAGCGAATTTCAGCCAGTTCAGCAAGAACCGGGCGAAATTCACTCCATGGCTAGCCAGCATAAGTTTCAACCATACACTGGATTAAGGAAAGCGATTAGGCTTGGCAATTTGTATCCTACTCTGGCCTGGGAATTTTGAGAGGCAGGAAATAAAGTCTTACACTCCCCCATACACAGAGATACCAGGTTATCTGCAAAAGGCAAACAGGGTGTGGGTGAAGTATATGGACATTTTGCATTGGCTCCTTACCAAGCATTCATTGAGTGAGTTATGCCTTCAGTAGGCCCCGTAGACTTTATTTACACTGCTGTGCATGCAGATTGATTTAAAATAAGAACATCAAATGATGATATGGGGTTTTGCGTTACTGTTCTTGGTTTCCCTAATTTCCTGTCTGGTCAATCTGTTGTCATCATCAGGGCAGCAAGTGAGAATCTCTCAAACGGAGTCCCAGATAGCAGTAAAAACCCAATATGAGATTCAATCCATCCAACTCTATGCATAATTTAAAGAGATAGGCAATGTATGCTTGGAGTTCATTGGTAGTAATTTCTTAACAGATTCGTTTTTATAGAGTGACATTTTTGTGGCATTGATTTCAGCTGAGAGTTTGTAGTAGAGTGGGACTGTGTCAGATCAATTTGCCAATCAGAATACCATAGAACAAAATGGCAAGGTTCAGACATTCAATTCATCTATATCTAATCAAAAGGAAGATGTAAGTGATATAATTACCTGTAGTGAAAAGCTGCTGAGAGGCATACTTTGAGCCGGAAAGCTTCTTGGATCTACGAGGAATATAAAACAGACAACGCATGACTCATAAAAGAACATTCATAAAACGATTAGTTGACACAATTCACATCTCCTTTACCATCACAGCCCCATCATCCTACATAAATAATACTTTAAAAAAAGGGAAAAATAGGAAGCGCCACGACTGGGGGGAGAAATGGTTGTGGTCCAATCAATGGAGCCTAGTTGGTTGTTGGAGTGGTTTGACTGACTTGAATGTGACGTGGAGGCGAGCAGGTGTAGACCTTCTCGGTTTGGGTGGTTGGGGATCAACGGGGACACAAAAGAGTGTTGGAACACTCCAATGTGCTGCCTTGTCCAAGCCCACACCGTGACCACCCCTCCACCCTAGAGTTGGATCAACCCCCCAGACGGCACGTCCTGAGCAGCCGCACACGGACTCTGCACGGCCTCTCCGTTCCCCAGCCTTCCGACTGCATCTCCTAGCAACAAGGACGCCACGGCTTGGTCTTCTGTTCCAACATTCCAAGAGCTGCCTCGAGCCTGGGGATCCTTCACCACAGACTCCTGCCTTCTCTCCTACCGAGGATGACATTGCATCTATCCTTACCTAACGGTAAGTCTCCACACTCCACACCTTGATCCTATCCTATATGTGATTTCTCAACTCTCCACCGTTCTCTTTTGTGTCTCCGTTGATCCCCAACCACCCAAACCGAGAAGGTCTACACCTGCTCGCCTCCACATCACCTTCAAGTCAGTCAGACCACTCCAACAACCAACTAGGCTCCATTTATTGGACCACAACCAATTCTCCCCCCGGTCGTGGCGCTTCCTATTTTTCCCTTTTTTGTGTTACCATTACACGTGTCGGTCACCCCGGTCCGTACCAACAGGAAGCCGCACACCACTATCAACCCCCGTCCCACACTTTTATGTGTATGGTGACAACCTCTTCAAAGCGCTGGACACCTGGACTGCCCCTATAACTTTCATATATAATACTTACACATTCCTTCCAAGTGGCATTTGGATGCAGACAGATGATTGGTTGCAGACGTTTCAGAAGGGTCTGACATGCTTCCTGCACAAGAAAAATGTTCACCGTTACCAGAAAAGTGTAAGTAGAATGTTAGAGAGGAAGCACTGCTTGTTGAATTTATTTATGTTTGAACATGTTTCCATTGAACAGGCATATCAGTGGAGTGAAACATTTTTACTATGATGAACAAATAAGTGTTTATGACTTTACTTTGGCTTTCTTCTTCTGCAGACTTGTTCCAGGCTAAAGGGAAATTCCAACTTTTCATAAAAAACTATAATTGTACACATATTCATTAAGAAAAAATTTGCATTTTTCATTTTTTTTCATTGGAGACAGTTAAGCATTGCAACCAAGATCAGTAGATCATGAGTGCAATAGTCTGGCTCCTGCAGATTCACCCTCCCATCCCTGGTGGTGATGGCGGAAGGTGGGTATTGCGATGTGACCATGTTTCATGTTACACCCTGAATATGTAACAATAGGTGTAATATGAAACATAGTTAGAAGAGTAAACAGCTTTTAAATTACTACAACAAATCCAGGTATTTTCTGTGTGACACACTCTGGTGCTATGGCAGTGAGAAATTCATGAATAAATACCACCATATGTGTGATTAAAAAACGTGGAGGTAAAGTTAACCTTTTCCATGTTGGAGTAAATTGTGTCACATGTGTAAGTGTTATGTTGCACAATTCTGCAACATATTGACAGTTAAATGAGTCTGTCTCAAATTGCGTCATTTGTTGCACAGATGGGAACAGATTTTCGAATGAGTGTCTACTACACTCTTTATGAATTCCAGATTTTTATTTATTCTAAAAACAATAATTTCAAGAAGTTTCTTTTTTTGTCAGATACATTTGAAATATTGCATATTTATATTTTATTTTTGAGTTAGCAGTCACCATTTAAAACACATTTTTAATGTGTTTATGACATGTGACACAGGGAATGAGCCCTTAGTGAAAGACAACCTGCCTGAAAGGAGATGATTAATGCATTGCTGTCTCTTTAATTAACCAATAGTGCTTCTTAGTCATGTATTACATTTCTATTTCTAAAACAAGGATACTATACATAAAGTAAACAGATATAAAACAATGTTTAAAAATGTATACAACAAAAAGCAACTAAAATAAAATTGACTCACAATTTTTATAATTTCACTTTTAAAATAATTATTTAATTTACCTTTAAGCACGGGAACTATGTGCTGCATTGCATCTATGTGGTGTCCAATAAATCACCAATAGAGGTGATTTATTCTTATGTACAGACACTAAGCATATAACATACTTGTTATCTTCTAGGTAAGTCTATTTTAACCAGGGTACAGTGGAACCCTAATGTTCCTCCTGAGGTCACTAGGGGTTCCTCGATCAGTAGTGAATTGATCTCCGACCTACACTGACCACCAATACAAAGAGGCACTTCTATACTTGCACTTCTGTTAGAGGAACAAGATTATTAACAAAAACGATAAAGATTATTAATAAAAATGTTGTTGTACAGAGCAGGAATGTGTAAAAAATGATCCGTCCAGAGTGTCAAATATGCTAGGTATGCCAAATTATTTGTTCCTTCATTTTAAACATTCTACAATTTAGTGATCACACCAATCTACTGGGAAACATTGGTAGAAATATATTTAATAACTGGTTGCCCAAAGACCTAAAAAAAAATATTGAGGATTCCTCCAGGGTAAAAAAGCTGAGAGAGGCTGTTCTAGGTTGTAAATTCTAACTGGCTTGCTCTTAGGCTGCTGATATAGCCCTAGATTTCGTAGATAAAGGCAATGCTGTATTGTGCAAAATATGTATATATCGATGCATTTTAAGTATTGTGTTAACAATAGTATAATGACTACCTGTGCTGCCATTAGGTGAACTTGAACATCATAAGATGATAGTTGGACATCTTTCTCTATTGCAAAGGCAGTACCGGTTTCACTGATGCGGATGTAAGCCATTGGGACTCGGAACTCTCTACTCACAACCTACAAAAGTAAAACAATGTTACTAAAGGTCATCTTCTCTCCTAAATTTTATCTCTGCAATAAAACCTAATAAAGTAAAACAATGCATGCATTATTGTTCTGCAGTCCACTACAATGTTAATGCATTACTTCTAGTGTGTAATGGAGGCTGACCTGGAGTATAGTTGAATCATCCGTGTTGATGCCTCCATTTAGGTGTAGAGCATTTGATTGTACATTTTGTAGCACCATACACTTTGATTAAAGAAAATTTCAGTGGCATGGTATGTTTGACATGATACTACGGGATCAAATGTGATAATATTTTTCTCTCCAGTCTCACATACACTATATTGCCAAAAGTATTGGGACGCCGGCCTTTACACGCACATGAACTATAATGGCATCCCAGTCTTGGTCCGTAGGGTTCAATATTGAGTTGGCCCACGCTTTGCAGCTATAACAGCTTCAACTCTTCTGGGAAGGCGTCCACAAGCTTTAGGAGTGTGTCTATGGGAATGTTTGACCATTCTTCCAGAAGCGCATTTGTGAGGCGAGGTACTGATGTTGGAGGAGAAGGCCGGGCTCGCAGTCTCCGCTCTAATTCATCCCAAAGGTGTTCTATCGGGTTGAGGTCAGGACACTGTGCAGGCCAGTCAAGTTCCTCCATCCCAAGCTCGCTCATCCATGTCTTTATGGACCTTGCTTTGTGCACTGGTGCGCAGTCATGTTGGAACAGGAAGGGGCCATCCCCAAACTGTTCCCACAAAGTTGGGAGCATGAAATTGTCCAAAACGTCTTGGTATGCTGATGCCCTAAAAGTTCCCTTCACTGGAACTAAGGGGCCAATCTTAACCCCTGAAAAACAACCCCACACCGTCAGGGCAGCCTTCAGAAATTACGGGGCCCCTTACACAGCTTTAGGCCGGGGCCCCCCCTCCCTGCACCGCCCTGTCTCCCCCGCACCGCCGCCATGCTGAGCCAGTCAGTCAAACTGTATATATTTATATATATAAAAAAAAAGGAGCTTACACTCTAATGTCCCACCCACAGTCACATCAGTCTCTGTACAGAGCTTACACTCTAATCCCCGCCCCCCCAGTCACATCAGTCTCTATGCAGAGGAGCTTACACTCTAATGCGCCCTCCCCCCCCCACAGTCACATTACCCGCTGGACGCAGGGCTTCGTGACCCGCTGGACACTAGACATGGGCACCGGCAAAAAAAATGAGTTTCAGCTTGTTTTGATTTGGATTTTGTGTTATTTCGTTTTTCGGGATTTGGACAAATTTTCGCTAGCGGTAGTCAGTACGAATGTTCATTTGCGTTTCATGTTCGTATCATTCGTTTCATTGCAGCAAAGTGACATAAAATAGTTTTTTTTTTTTTAATTGTCACTTTGCTGCAATGAAAAAAAATTAATATCGGCCGTACCCCCCTGACGGCGGCCCTGCACACCGTAATCCCCCCTCCACCAAACTATACACTTGGCACAATGCAGTCAGACAAGTACTGTTCTCCTGTCAACCGCCAAACCCAGACACATCCACCGGATTGCCAGACAGAGAAGTGTGATTCGTCACTCTAGAGAACACGTCTCCACTTCTCTAGAGTCCAGTGGCGGCGTGCTTTACACCACTGCATCTGACGCTTTGCATTGCACTTGTTGATGTAAGGCTTGGATGCAGCTGTTCGGCCATGGAAACCCATTCCATGAAGCTCTCTACGCACTGTCGTTGTGCCAATCTGAAGGCCACACAAAGTTTGGAGGTCTGTAGCTACTGACTCTGCAGACAGTTGGCGACTTCTGCGCACTGTGCGCTTCAGCAAGCGCTGACCCCGCTCTGTCATTTTACGTGGCCTACCACTTCGTGGCTGAGTTGCTGTTGTTCCCAGTTGCTTCCACTTTGTTATAATACCACTAACAGTTGGCCGTGGAATATTTAGTAGCAAGGAAATTTCATGGATGGACTTATTGCACAGGTGGCAACCTTGAATTCACTGAGCTCCTGAAAGCGACCCATTTTTTCACAAATGTTTGTAGAAGCAGTCTGCATGCCTGGGTGCTTGATTTTATACACCTGTGGTCATGGAGGGGATTAGAGCACCTGTATCCAAGGATTTGGAGGGGTGCCCCAATACTTTTGACAATATAGTGTATTTAAACTGGTAAGGTGGAAGATGGGGTTTATGCTAGAAGGGCAGTTATCCTTTAATTTCTATGTTTTCTTAAAAGACTCACCTGCATCATTTTTGTCAGTGTCTCCTTTGCCAAGTCACTTCCGGCAGGTGTCACCAGCACCCATCCATCTGTACATATATGAACCAGTACAGATGCCTAAAAAGAAAAGTTTTATTATTTAGAGAGCTGCCTGGCATTCTGAGAACATACAATTCGGCATTCATGTATCTGGAAAGAGTGATGCGTTGTACTTCCGGCACAACAAAGTGGTGAAAAATAGTTAAAAAAGTGTTAATAAAAGTGAATTCCTGTGAAAATACAGAGCGAGTCACTTGATATACAAATATTCTGCATTTGCCAATAACAGCCAGTTACATGCAAACCTGCATTAGAAAATAACACATGGAGAACATAAATATGAAACTGATTGTCACAAGGCAAAAGAGATTGTTCTGACTATTAATAGAGATATTTCTGATTCTAAGTACATAGATAGTCTTTAAAAAAGATCTCCTTGTAATGGATCAGTATAAGTAGGACATAAACATTTTTGCCTTGGAGCTTTCTGGAAATATTCCATATTTGTATATCTGTACTTTTCTCTAACATTATCGGTAAAGTTATGTACAGAAAGTGGAACTGAGGCCCAAACATTTTTTAGTTTTTTTTAGTTTTGGATTCACCTTGATGATTAAGCTTACTCGGTGAAACGCGTAAAAGGATTCTTGTTGTCTTGGGGAGCATGTCTGTGGTGTGCACTTTTGGATTACAAATAAATATTGGATTTATTATTTAAAGATCCGGCGGTGTGTGGCTTTCTTTTGAGCTGAACTGATTGAAGGTGAACACACCCTTGTTCTGCCTGCACCTGTGGGATCCTTGTGATAGGGATGCAGTCGGAAAATTAGAGAGGCGAGATTTCTCTGTGAACTTAATGTGGAATTAGTGCTTTTATAACTAATCTTTAATGATGCCCATTGTCTTTTAAACACTTGAGATCACTGAGGGTTTCCCCGTATAAAATATTGTAACATTGACAATTATGAATTGAATTATCATGCATGTAATTTTAATGGATTTAACATGTTTTACAGGTGTAGCCCCCATCACCTTTAGTGGAGTGGCTACTAGAAATATAGTGATTGCCAGAGCTATAGTCTGTTTGGCTGAATTATAGTTGGAATATATCTGGTTAATTCCAGGTGTTCTGGCATTGATTGTACTTGCCTGAATGGAGTATGCTGCAGTGTGGGACACTGTGATTGTGTGTGCAGTTCACCAGCCAATCACTGGATCACTATTGGCCAGTGTTGCATACTGGGACAGGGCATATATACTCAGAGGAATTGCCATGTGTTGAGTTGGGCTCCAGCCATGGATTAGCCTAAAAAAGGGGTGCTGTCCTCCCTCCCTCCCTCCTCCACACATAACTTGGTGACCGGGTTAGGGGAATTCTACATGTTGTTTTAAATACACATTTGATAAAAACAGAAGAACAGTAGAAACCATCACTGATTTTTTTGGGCCTCACCTGTTCATGATCATTATCTCACCATTCAACAGTTCATCAGATCAATAGTAATCAGGAAATTCTGTCATGAAGATGCAAAACCCTGCTTTTCTACCAAGATGGCCACCTCCACACAGAAACACAGCAAAGAACAAGGCATGATAAGTCATTCCTGGGGAAAAGATCATCTGCGGGTAGCCTACAGGCAATGTTATTGACTAGTCCTTTGCCCTATGACTTACAGAAAATCTAAAAAAATGTAAATGTGCATTTCCTTGAATAGAGTGCAGGGAGGAAGTGAGGACTGAATGTGACTATCCTGCTGTTATACACTAAGGACTGTCTTCGGTCCTACAACATCTGTTGCCTGTCCTTGGTGCCACATAAAGTAAGTCCCTAAGGAAATCTATGGAGGATCAGTAATTGTATTTCAGGATGAACTATATGCTCAGACTGCATGGGACCAACTATACTGCTGGGTCCCTGAGTAGCTGTATGGGTTGGTATGGCAGTAGCTACATCCTTAATAAAGCCCTTACGTTCATAAGATCTGAAAGTCTGCATACCTGACCAAGGAAGTTGGCAATGAGTCCAGCAGGGAACATGACAGGAATGATGGAGAAGCCTTGTTTCCTCCACGCATGCACTTTGTTACTTTCTGCTGCTGCAGCTCTTCTCTGATGGTAAGATGACTTCTTCAAGCACTCATCCCAGCAATCCAAAAGACTGTTTGCATTAAAGTCTCCTTTAAATGGTGTTTCGCTATGTTCTTTATACAGATTTAAATGTCGTACCTGGAATTAAAATATTTAATTGTACTTAACCTCCGATGTCATACAGAATATCAAGGTTTACATTTTAACATTGTAGACAGTAAACAGTATTTATAAAAATGTCTCCTACTAAAAATCAACTTGTCTACCAATTTTTAGTCAACACAAAAATGTAATGCCACTGGGTCTACTTAACGTATATGTATATCCAATGCAGGATCAGAAGTCCTGCACTGTACCTGAGAACTGAAAGCAGGAGATGGAGAGCAGAGGAATATAAAGAATAAGGTAAGTATAGTTGCTTATTTATCTACCCCTAGACAAAATTAGTTTTAAACCTTGCAGTGTGGGGTGAAGGTTCATTTTGTTACTTAACCCGGAATGCAGCTTCAAAAATTACAGTCACATGGCTAAAAAAAAGAACCCTATCCCTGTGTTTAATCTTTTTAAATTGAGCCTATAGAGCAGGGGTCCCCAAATGTTTTAAAGAAAGGGCCATTTTAATGTCCTCGAGGCTTTAGGAGGGCCAGCCTGTGGCCACTGGGAGTACAAAATGTCTCAGATTCGATGGTTGATCAGTGGGAGTAAAAATTCCCAAGGGTTGGTGGTCAGTAGGAGTAAAAAAAAATGACCTAGCTCGTATGGTCAGTGGGAGGAATAGTGCCACATCATTGGTATCAGTGGGAGGAATAACGTTCCATTGTGGGAACAATTGTGCACATTCAATGGTAACAGTGGGAGGAATTGTGCCCATCATTGGTGTCAAAGGGAGGAATTATGCCCCGTCAATGCTGTCAGCGGGACAAATTATGCCCCATCATTCGTGTCAGTGGAAAAAACAGTGGCCCATTGTGTCAGTGGGAAGAACAGTGCCCCGAGGGCAGGACAAAGGAAATCAAAGTGTAGCCTCTGGCCCGAGAGCTGCAGTTTGGAGACCACTGCTATAGAGTTCTGGGGGGTACCATTAGAACACAATAACATTTCTAGATGTTCTTCATTATAAACTCTCACGTTATCTAACTGACAAAAACCTAGCTGGGCAGGGTTGTTCATGAAATGACCATCCTCCCCTAATTACACCTTAATCACACTTTTTTTTTGAGCTGTATGATTGTAGGTATGTAATACAAGTGACACTTAACTTACCTTTTCATGTAGCACTCCACATCTGTCTGCTACTGTATCTATCCAAATCTCTGGTAGCATTGCTGCAAGTGCAAATCCATATTCAGAGTAGAATTTCTTGGATGGGAGATTTGTTTTGCATGGTACAACAGTGCACCTGCTGTTGGGAATACTATAAGCATTTTGTGCACTCAGTAAGCACGCGGTAAGCACCTGAATATGACAAAATGAATGTAAATAACTAAGTAAAACATGAATTAGAAGTAAAACATTTTAATAACAATATTAAATCTCCTTCAGGATAAACTGTATTTGCCAATTACAGACCTAGTTTGGTGGCTGACAAAAAGTAAAAATGAGAATAAAAACACACACACATAATTTTTCTTTTTTTTCAATCTTCCCCTATTGGGGACATTTACCTTCACTTACTGTGCTGTAGATAGAAAACACATCTTATTTAGGTTCTACAAGTATACATTAAAGCCCCATTCACACCACTGTGCCGCAGTGTTTTGCGTGGATCGCTGCACTGTAGTGTCATTCATTATGACCGGCACCCCAATGACCTTTTAACCAGTGCAGTACAGCACAAGGCGCCTTGTGCTTGGCATTCTGGGGAAATGCCACCTGCCCCATTTTCATATGTCTTGTGGTGTGTTCCAGACCATTCATTTTGAACACACCACAATGCACTTCAATGCAAGACAATACATGTGTTGCAGTGCACAGTGTTTTGGTGTGAATGGACCCTAGAGTCACATGACCCACTTGATCTAGAAATGTTAGAGTGTAAAGATCATTTACCTGAAAGGATTCATCAGGTCTGTGTCCAGCATTACAGTAATATGTCACATCTAATGCTACAATCCTCCCATCATCCATATAACCAACCTGCGGTAAAGATAACAAGATGATGATATGGTAAATGCTACTATATTAATAAACATATTATTATTAACTTGTTAGAAAATTTGGGGAATAAGTTGGAAGAGGGAAAAGATCATGCACCGTGTGGTGAAAGCTTTCTGTGGGAAATAAAAGTCTTTTTGGAACAAGGCACTGCTGGGATGTGCCCCAAGACATTGGATTTATTGTAGTGTCCTGACCCCAGGGTCATAGGTATACACTGGAAACTAACAGTACACATCATTTTATAGCAGAGACCTGCAACTTACAGAGCAACAAGCTTCACTTTTAAAGCAAAATAGTGTTGATTACCTGATCCCACATCAGAGGAGCAAGATGGTGATGATTACAAGGTTGTCATAATTAAATGTATGACAACCTTGTAATCAACACTATCTTGCTCCTCTGATCGGGGTTTAGGTAATCAACACTATCTTGCTCCTGTGATCGGGCATCAGGTAATAAACACGATCTTGCTACTCTGATCGGGGATCGGGTAATCAACACTATCTTGCTCTTCTGATTGGGATCAGGTAATCAACACTATCTTGCTCCTCTGATTGGGATCAGGTAATCAACACTATCTTGCTTCTCTGATCGGGTATAAAAACAATTTTGGCTAACTGACAGGCTTACCAGATAATATCCAACAATAAAGCATGATCATGCACTTTATAAAGACTTTTGAAGTATTTTTAAATCTGCAGCTTTTATTAAAATAATATATGATAATCCTGCCATAGGGGGTCCTTGTTCTTCCTTTTATAGGATGGCAACTTCCTAGGTTGTAACTTCCTCTTATAGGATGACAACGCTCTGTGTCTGTCTCCCAGTTTTGCCCCTGTGTTGTCACCCTGTTGAAAATATTTCTAATGCAGACTTCAAGAGGCAATTTCAGCAAACCGTATGCAGACGTGGTCCATTGTGCCCTATAGAACATGAAGATGTCCCTACAAAATAGTGGGAAATGCATTCATAGGATGCAGAACTAGTCTATTTAGTTTGGAACACAGTAAAAATAAACAAAAAATGACAGAGGTGTTTTTATTGTTGTCCATGTTAATTTCTCCTCATTTCCTGTCCTAGATGCCCCCTCACCAGGTAGGAAGGGACACATCTATTCAACAGGCATATAGACAGCAATACATTCCTGAGGGGTGGAGGAACCAGAAGGAAGAGCAGGAAATGATTGTACATGTAGACAATGTAATGAGGTGCATTGACACACTTCACAGTATACTGTGACTCCAGAAGTGATATACTGTAATTAGTAGCCCAGAATTCACCTTGTATTTGCCAAAGAATGGAGGTTGATGTCTTAATATAAATGATTTTTCTCTATGTTGAATAACAGAGGAAACAGTTTGACTGGTTCTGAAAAAAAAAATATATCAGTGTCAAAAAAAAGTAGATATTGACTCGGATTCATTTAATTGTATGCTGAAGTTCAATTAGAAGAATTAACGTGGACCTGAACTCAAAAAATGAAGTTTTCCTTATGTTATAGGCGATGTTTAGAAATAATCATTGTCCTATGCATTACCTTTAAAAATGTACCTTTTGTCTGGAATTCCCCCTGAGAAATAGCAGTGTGGTCCCGAGTATGTGAGTGTGCCTAGGCAATCCTGTCCATATACTGTAGGCTTATAACTGTATATCTGCATTGTGAGATCTAAGGCACTACTGCCTCCAACTACAAGTCTCAAGAGATTTGGAGTGAGATTTGGTCACTACTGTCCTGCTCACTATTATCCTTGCTGGAGGCTCTGATATGAGAAATCAAAGCCCTGCCTCTACCAAGATGGCCGCCTCCACACAGAAACACAGTGCAAAACAAGACATGGCAAGTCAGTAATGAGCAAAATATTGGTTGCAGGGAGACCACAGGCAATGCTGGTGACTAATCCATTACCCTCTGTCTGCTTTTTTTTTTTGGCACAGCTTCCAGAGTACGTGTTCCTCTTTAAGGTATGATACATGGTCAATAAAAATAGAATACTTGTAGTATAAAATGAGAAAGATACAACTCTTTTATTATGCTGTTATTTATATTTGAATAGAGTAACAGTAATTCACTATGTCAAACAGAATTGCCAATAAGTCCATAAATCTATAGGCCCTTTAAGGCTGAACTTTAGGCATGGAAAATTTTGTTTAAATATATTTCTCAATAGCCTCAAAGGATGTAAATCCACTATGTGTGCTCCAAATGCCTTTGCGAGACCAGTTATTACCTTGCATAAGAAGCAATGACATCTGGAATAAGAGGAAGGGACCCAGCAGGCTCCACCCACTACAGGCAGAAAACTACAGGAGGGGGCGGATACAAGACCAGTCACCCTGCACAAGGAGAGAGAGCAGCAGTGACTGGCCTTTGCTACAGGAAAGGTTTCACACTGGATTCAGATTCAGGAGCAATGCACAAAATTCAAGTAAGAATACACATGACTCTTGTATTTAGACAATATTTGCTTATCCCAGAGTTCAGCTTTAAGATAACTACCAACTGTGTGCCCCTTATCTGAGTAGGTAACCCACCCATTGTGCACTGGGCTAGGCTTAAGCATGGTTCCATGCAGAGTCCAGTACCAATAAACGTTCCTCCACCCAGCACTACCAAGCCACTTGCTAGATGCATTCTCCTTCACATCAGTCACTGATCACTTTAGCTTTTTGATTAAGGTTTATTTTTGCTCAATAAATGCTGGAGGGAGGGTTAGGGGACAGAATTCCCAAAATAGGAATAATGGCTTGTAATTGCTAGTGGTAGTAAAGATTACTGTTGGCCCTTTAAGAGCAGCCAAATTTTGGTGACCCTATGATAGCAGTCACAGTCTATTTCTAAAGGCTAGTTTGAATCTTCCTCCTTCTCTACGTAGTCTCTAACTCATAAATTGTTACTCCTCACAAGCACTACAGGAGACAACTCAACAGCAGCAGGCGGACATAATTATTATCCTGAGCTTAGGAGAAATCCACAGAACACAAACAGGGGAATTTATCAAAACTGGAGTAGACATTTGGAGCAGCTGTGCATGGTGACCAATCAGCTTCTCTCTTAAGTTTGTTCAGTTAAGATTTGAAAATGAAAAAGAAGGGCTGATTGGTTGTTGTGAACAGCTGCTTCAGATTTTGTCTGCTCCCCTTTTTATAAATTCCCTTCAAAAATTTAAACAAAAAACTCAAGCTGGCTACAGTCTAGGAACAAAACCCCACTAAATGTAACTGGGGGCACTCCAGCTTAATGTGTATTTCCACTTTTGCAGCAAAATTGGAATCATACCTACTTTTATATGTCTTACATGTTCCCATTCACATAGCAAAACTTAAAAAATGAATGTAAAAAAATATTAATTGTTCATTTTTGACCATAGATATCCTTTAAGAGGTTAAGGGTACGTAGTTGAGTTGGTTTGCATTGGAGTATTGCATTATTGATATTCAGGCTTTTTTAATTTTAAGACAAGCTCAAAGTGCATTAAAAGAGGTCTCTCTGTATTTTTTTTATAATATCCTCCAGTAGGTTTTCTGTTGTTTAAGATGAAAACATGTATGTGAATAACTTTACTGCACAATAGAGAAACCCAAAAATATTATTACTATGTGACCCAAACTAATTTACTAGCTGTGTTTTTTAGGTTTCTTTGGACTAATTATCGTACATTGTGGGAAACTGTACACAACACATTTTATTACCTAGAAAATTATATGTATGTAGTCGGTAATAGGCATAATTAGCAATGTCTTGGCAGCGTACATGTATCTATCTTCCAACCCTAAACAGTTAAGTAGCCAAGCCCACAATAAAATGTTGTTTTTGAATATGTTTATGGGTGCCATAATCTTTATAAAGTAAAGCGCATTTAAGATTCAAATGTTAAAGGAAACTAGTTACTTTAATGGACATCCAGAGTGAGGCTTAGAAGACAGGAAGGACTGGGGCCAGGCTCCCAACCCATAGACCTAGTAAGTAATCCCATATCACATGTATTTCCCACCCTTCCAGATACATCATCCAGTTTATTGTTTAGCTCTAAATCTCATACAAAGGAAGCATTTCCCAGTCAGGCTTTGTAATTCTAAGATGAGAGATGAGTTGCACTGTGTTTCGGGTAAATGACAGGCAGTTTCCATTGCTGAGCCACTGGGCTGTGCTGTACTGCTCATGCCATAAAGAATAACGGTCTGCAGGGAGACCCATAGGCTGCAATGCACAGTCCACTATGTCTCAAGATGTCATATAAAGCAAAGGGCAACGCAGCATAGGAAATATTTTATTTGGCTTCATAGAAAACAGCAGCTTTCATCTTTCACATATGTTGTTAAATACTTTGTCTTTTTTCAGCCTTGTACAGTCTTTCTATACACACTCCGCTTCCCGCAGTGAAGATAGTAATCACTGTGTTGCTTCATAGAAAACAAGCAATTAGAAATGCAAAACGTCTTTCTATAAGCAACCAAAAGAAAAGGTCATATTGCCAGAAACTAAATAAATAACCAGTGCATTTGTTTTTATGTGTCCACAAGTGACCCTCTATCCAAGCATTCTGAGATATTAAGAGCTCCTGTAGAAGGGCTATGTTACTGAACACTGCATTTTTCAGTCCAAGACAGCACTACTGGAACACGAGTTTGGGCAAATGCATACATTTGTTCCATATGTGCCATATGTTTTAAGTAGCTTTTTTTGCAGAAATCTCAGAACAGTTGTAACCTAGGGACAGCACTTGATCCTTCTCCACCTGGGACTGAAGAACTTTTGAAACAACAGAAACACATCTCAATAGGACAAACTTGCTGCAACCGATACCGTTTGACAATTTTTATTCATGTCAAGCACTGATCTTGACCCTTCACTCGCACATGCCCCTATTGGCCATTTACTATGAAGGATGGCCTTGCTGGCCATTAGCAATGTATGGGACGGTATATCAACCGGGTATACAGCGCTAATAATTCAATTAGTGGTTATTAAAGTATAAGTGTATTACTTAATATAATTGTAATTAGGTGTATTACTTAATTACAATAAGTGCTAGATCGCAAGTGATGGTGGGAAAAAAACAATAATGTTTAGCAATAATTATTGTCAGAAGAAGATAAACCGTGACAAAAAATGAAATTTTTTGTCAAATTTTTTGACATTTTTTGTCACGGTTTATCTTCTTCTGACAATAATTATTGCTAAACATTATTGTTTTTTTCCCACCATCACTTGCGATCTAGCACTTATTGTAATTAAGTGACACTATTGTCTGTAAAAACAGTTTGGATGTATACACTTATACTTTAATAACCACTAATTGAATAGCGCTGTATATCCGGTTGATATATTCTAGACCTACGGGTTTATAGTATGCCAGCTTTCAATTAAAAACACAATATTTAGAGCGCACTCCTGTAGAGCAGACACAACTCTGAAGGTTGACTACTGGTGGTGTGCGAAGCTCCTCACAAAAGGGGGAGGGACCCTGTGTAACAACCCAAAAACAAAACACTTTATTGAGGAGCGCAACTACCTGAAATCACTTTGGTGAACACATGGGCTGAACACTGCTTGTACAGTAATGTTGGGACATGTATATGTCAAATACGAGTGTAGAACACCAACCTATAACTGGCCCTATAGGATAAAAAAGATGTTAACTTACAGTTAGGATGTGGGAAAATGTGCCCAAAAATCTCTCCCGGGGTTCGCTTCAGGATCTGTTGGTCGGGTCCTTCTAGCTGGCAGGTGAGAGGTGAATGGCTAAATGGCTTGTTCCCTCCAATTGTCAATTTTCGGCTGGTCTAAAGCAAGTATGCGATGGTGAGACAGCCGACGGCTGGGACGGGGAGAGTGTAAGGGGGAGAGCGAGGTGCCGCGGACAGCACTGAGGCGCCTGGTCCCGTGTGTATTAGCGATGCAGTCGGGCTGCTGTCTCAGATTTCCGGTAATCTCGTAGTCAGCGAAAGTCGTGAAGGACTGAACGGGGAGTAGGAGTTCACGGTGGGTGGATGGCTACGCGTTTCGAGGAAATTCCTCTTTGTCAAGCCACAAGATAGATAGGTTGGTGTTCTACACTCGTATTTGACATATACATGTCCCAGCATTACTGTACAAGCAGTGTTCAGCCCATGTGTTCACCAAAGTGATTTCAGGTAGTTGCGCTCCTCAATAAAGTGTTTTGTTCCAGCTTTCAATTAAACACTTTGTTACACTTTAATAGGAGTCATCACTCGTAACACGAGGTGTACATTTCACTTTATTTTATTTTATTTAATCACTCTCTACAGATATTCAACATAAACTTATTGGTAATAGTTCAATATGTTTACTATCTGAACTTTTTAGCGCTGCTCATCCAGCTAAACTAATGTATGGGATGGGTGGGCCCCAATTTGACACTACAAAGAAGTGCTGATAGTTGTCATTTACATCAGCCCAGGATTTGGGGTGCTCAGACTGCAAAGTAATCTATATAAATGTATGTGCGGACCCTTTTATAAGCCTGAATTGTAGTGTTGGAGCCCGTCATTGACATTTGCATTCTGACATATTTGTTTTAATGTGATGGGTGGTCGCACTGGCCAAAAGGAAGGTTTGAAAGGCTGGACCCATCTCTTTCAATAAAAAGTAAAAACTTCAGGTCTATCGTATTTACTGTTTCTTTCTAATGTGTTTTTTTTCTTTACTTAAGGTAAACTCTACATATGCATTTTTCCTCATATTCTTAGTTTGGGGAGTTCCCCATGTTAACTTTTCCATTTGTGTTTTATGGAACAATTATTGTATAATTTGTTTAATTTATATGTATTATAGGGAGGTATACATCATAAACACAATACAAAAATGTGATGCATTCTCTGATAAACTTACTTATGAGCAGCTACAGCCGTGATAGCAGCTTGAGAGGCCGTGTGCGAGAGCTCTGTGTGTTTCCTTTTCTCCAAACAACACAGGATGTAATCAGAGGGAATGTTTAAAGCGGATGCCACTGCAGCCTGCCAAAAGAACCAAGGAATGTAAGACCTGTAGCTCCGAACTGCCACCATAGTTATATAGCATGTAAATTGTAAATGGTTTTTATATATAGTTGGCATAAACAGTAATGCTTTCTAAAATAGCAATCACATGAACTCATACATATTCAAAGTAAATCTTTCAAGAAAGAAATGTGGAGGCTGCCATTGCGACCCTTCATTCTACAAATGCTAGCTGCATGGCTGATCCTCTGCCGGCGGTACTGAAGTCAAACATTTAGAACGAGTATAGAGATAAGGACTTCTGACTTCTCTCTGACTTTCCTGATCAGTAATGGCAGCCCCTGAGTTTTTCTTAGGAACAGTTTATTTTAACTTTAGGTAGGGAAACAAATTGAAATTATAGGTGAAGTAAATACAGTATAGATTATATCTTCCGTGAGGAGAAAAAGTGTACTCATTACATCAATCTGTACAGAGTTTAAACAGATTACCTGATGTACTATAATGGAAACTGAGGTGAACCTGTGTTGATTGCAAACATCCAATTATTAAAAGTAGATTTTTTTTTCAAATTCTCCAAAACATGATTGGATGAGTCAACTAACCTTGATATCGCCGAACTTTCCACTGCACTAAATCAGGTCCAGGATGACTTTAGAGAAAGCACAGTAGATGTAGGAATTGCAGCACACCTCCAATTAAAATGGTTCAGATACCACTTTATTTCACTAGGATCAGTGGACAATCGAGTAAAATAAATATTACACTACATGTTTGCAAATCAGTGATAAACACTGCTCCCCATCCGTGTGCTCCACCACTCTCTTGATCCACTCACCAGATGCGGTGGACCATCTAACAAACAATAGTCAAAAGCACTTTATATAATAAAGATCTCACTACTGTATTCTGTCTCCTAGGATCACACATTCCCAAATGTTTCAGTAGTGTGTAAAAAATATATTATTTTTCTTCCTCTACACCATGCTCCAATGTAACTTCTGTGGTGGTAATAGCTGTGTGCTCCACCTCACCCTGGAGGAGATTCAACTTTTGGTTATGATCTGCAGAAGAGCCTTACCCACTTTTATTAGGGACTGTTTTTCTCCACAGAGTTAACACACCCATTTCTTACTCTTCTTCACCTGGTTAATCATAATTTCTCTCACCAAGCCCTGATAATGAGGGTGTTTTTGGACCCCTGAACCATGATGGCTGTTCTACGCGATTATCCCCTTACCCTAGTAGAATAAAGTTGCATCTGGGCTATTTTAATTAGCGTGATGCTTCAATTCCTACATCTACTGTGTTCACTGTTAAGCCAAGGATACTGTGAAGTCCCTTAAGCCAGTGATAGCTGCCTATTAGCCAGATTACACATATTAACATCACTTAAGAACTATTAGATGAAAAAAACAGAATAACCACACAGGTCCAGCGCTCATTTTCCATTTAAAGACATTCATGGAAAGTACATCACACTTAAAGGAGAACTATGAGGTGAGTGCTTTTCACTCACCTCATAGTTCTAGCCGACCTGTGACAATGAGACTGTCACAGGTCGGCTCAGTAGATCGGGAGGTGAGCGAACACATACCGGCGTTCGCTCACCTCTCGATCCTGTCACGGCTCTCTGCCGTGACAGGGGAGGGGCTGGATTCCCCCCTCCCCGCTCCGATCCGCCAGCGCTGACTGGCGGAACGGACGGGGGAGGGGGCGGGTACAGCTGGCTCTGCCTCTAGATAGGCAGAGCCAGCTGTCAGTCACGCAGCTGGGCGGATCCAGACATAAAATTGTCGAGATCCGCTTCAGCTGCGGTGTCTCAGTATACCGCTAGCTGTAGCTCGGGGTATACTGAGCTTAGGGTGACGGGAGGACGCTAGTTTGTGTCCTCCCGTTACCCTAAGGAGAACTATGGGGAAAAGCCCTAACCCCATAGTTCTCCTTTAAAGTGACATTAAAGGATAAAAAAATGTTCCCTCCCCCCAATGTTAATGTCAGCACTTACCTTAAATGATGTCTCTTAATCCGATCTTCTTTCCTGATGTTTTCATCTGTCCCTCCAGTGGTGCGGCGGCTCTCTGATCCAGCGCTGACTCCTCTGCTTGCTGGCACTTCTGATCCCACGGTGTCTGCATGCGGTGCACGCGTCCATAGACTTACCTCGTGTCTCTGCTCGTCTCCCGGCCGAGAATCCGAACTGCGCATGTGCCCGCCCCACGATGCTTTGCGGCCGCCCGAACAGTTTCGTTTCTCGGGCGGAAGCGTGCAGCGAAAACAAGGTAAGTTTAAACCGCTGTTAAAGCGTGTTTTTTTTTTCCAACTGTTTGCCTATATTTACTGCTGGCTAGCATTAGATATAGGCATAAAACGGGAGGGTTTAGAACCCCTTTAAGTATAATAGGTCCTAAATGTTTATTTGTAATGTATTAATAAAGAGGTCCCTAGTGTTATGTTCTTCTAGGACCCAAATGTGAGATTTCCATTGTTCCTCGATCCCAAATAATATTTATTAAGTACATTAATACACCCGTTCCTTGATGCAATCTTTCCTTGAATTTACTGTAAAAAGGAAGACAAACATATGCCTGCCACTGCAGTGGCTTCCAGTAGAGTCCAAGCCTTATGATTACAGGGACCCAGCAAAATTATTCATGAGTCCTAGATAAAACCTTCTTCCAACAAGCTGCACACCTAAGCGCCCAAGAAGATTAGAGTACAGAACACTGTACCTGTATTGATGCTGGATCCTGGGTTGATATAAACACTTCTATTTCATTTTCTTCTATTCTAGGAATGACCCGTACAGTCTGGGATTGCAGAAGACCATTCTGTCCTTCTATATATTCCTCACCTGTTCTTTGAAAAGTAAAAACAAAGGCAGCACTCCAGACATGTATTCATCTCTTGCAATGAAACATTAAGGCTTGTGTGTTCTTGCAGCTAGCATAAATCTCAGGCGCCTCCTAAGCAGAAGATAATATGATGCATGCAGATCCGTAGCAGTTAAATAAGTGGATTCAGCACTGTCCTAGAATCTTCTATATTTATTTTGAAGATACAAATGCAGACCTTTTTTATGCTTCCTATTTATTCATGTTTCAGTTTTAGACATCCTGCAATCTTAAAGTGTATGTAAACCCTAACAATGAACTTCTCTTATTTGGTTCCTTTTGGTCTGTTAAATATACCTCTGAAAGGGTTTTACAAAATCTGTTTGATAAGTAAAAAAAAAAAAAAATGAAAACAGTGAGTTTGCGGTGCTAAACCCCCTTATTGCATATTAACTAGATATCATAAAGAATATAAAAAAAATATTATTAAGATCTTGGTGTGCCTTAAACCTTATATTCGTGAACAATGATAAACCTTTTAAACTGGATAAAAATAAATAAAAATTAGATGCTCCAGTTGCTAAGAATTAATAAAGTGCACTGTTAACTTAGTGAAAATGATGTGAATATATCACAGTGAATAGCACAATAAACCAAAAATAGCCGTGAATATCATAAACCAAAAATGTGTTAAACATTCAATAAATGGTACTTTTAATGCAATCCAATCTGGATATGTAAAATACCAGATTATGTGAATATATCACAGTAGATAACACACTGAACAAAAAAGCCGTGAATATGATAAACCAAAAAAAGTGTAAAGCATTCAAAAAATAATACTTATAATGCAATCCAATCTGGATATGTAAAATACCAGTTGTGACAAACATGAGATAATTTAAATCCTTATAGTTAAAGGGTCTAGGACTTATTGTCTCTATTGTGGCAGCTTTATTTCCCATAATGTCAAATTATTATCTAAAGCGCAGATTAACATTTAAAAAAAAAAAAAACTGTTGATCTTGCCAGAAATCTTGTGAGCAGAAAGATACCTGTGCTCCCTGCCTCTGCTGACTGTCATCAATTACCTTGTTCCCAGCTGTTTCTGAGGATTACAGAACCACACCCCTCTATGTTATGGGGGAAAAGGAGAGGGGTGGGTTCCGAAGTCCTATCATCTGTAAAAAAAATAAGTCAAGGCAATCTTTATCTTGAAGACGTTACACTGGTCATCCAACCAGCTTTCTAAATTCAGAGTTACTTTTTGTTTTGTACAAGTCATTCTGATTTGAGAAAGCTGGTTGGATGACCAGTAAAACGTCTTCAAGAAAATTACAGCAAGTCCAGTTGCCTTGACTTATTTTTTTACAGATATACCATGGCCTGGATGAATGAGAACCTTCACAGATGTACTCCTATCATGTTTCTGTTGTGATACAGAAAAGTAAGTGAGCTGTGTCATCCTAGGACTGGAAGTATGTTACTGGTAGGATCACCAGATAAAAATAAAAGGAAAAAAAAACCTGAAAACAAAAACAAATGCAACTACCAAATCTAAGGACTGGTAAACTGAATGATATTACATTTTTACTCCTGGTTTTAGATATGTTTTAACCACATGCTCTTGATGCCGAGGGATGTTGCCAAAAGCTTATCCATACTGTAACATGAATAAAACAGAAGTATACAAAAGGGAGTGCTGCAGTTGTATCTTTAAAGATTTATATCTGTGGGCTGCCAAGTTCAGTTACATACAATTTCTCAAAACCCTTGGTAATATCTACACCTTAAGATCTCAAACCTCTTCACCACTTTCAAAACATCTAATATTGAAAACAGTGGGAGCTTTACCTTTCCCATCCAATCTCAGATCCACCTTAAGAACTCCGCTTTATTGATTCACAGCATAAGAGAAAACACCAGGTATGTCAAATATGCTGACGTGTTTCAGCCTCCAAGGGCTTTAGTCAAAGCTGGTGTTTTGTCTTATGTAGTGAATCAATAAAGATTGAGGAGTCAGCGCTGGATCAGCGCTTTTTTTTAAGGTGGATCTATACCATACCAAACTATTTGCTGTACTTTAAAAACTTATGTGCCTCAGATCTATAAGACAAAGCAGTGTTGCTGGCCCATTGGCCTACCTAGGCATGCCATGCACTGAAATGTCAGAATCCGCTGAAAACTAAGAAATCAACGCAGAGTAATTTTACAGTTTATTATTCAATATGGAATCTGCATCAGATCTGGGATTCTTATGCCAATATTTATCACATTACATATAAATTGATCACTGATTTTTGGCAGAGTATTCCCATTCAAATGTAATCATTTAGCTATGTGCTATGCAATCACCTCAGCAGAATAAAAACTTTGCAAGTGTGCATTTTATACTGTAAAAACAAAAAAGAAAAAATGTATTTTTGTATTTTCTTTAAACTGCCTGAATTGCAGGTCTTGTTAAATACCTATATTGTATGAATGTCTATGGATATTTACCTTCTAGAATATGATCCGCACACTCAAAAGCTTCATCTACGTTCCCATGCTCTAATTTCCTAAGTGGCCCAAAGAAGGAATTGTGCTTTATTGAATCCTAAAACAGCAAAACATGTCTGCAAGTTATTTTTATGACTGTTTACATTCATATATGTGCTACAAAACTGTTAATTCATAGATACCATCTCACATACAACCTGTGAAGTTGGATACATACAAAGCACATACATTTAGTTAAATGTAGCTTCTTTTTAAAGCCCAACTATAGTCAAAATGTTAAAATAAATCCCACAACAGAGTTTTAAAACAAAAAAGCAGTTGTGGCTGCACCGCACACCTTCTCTTTGGTGCTGCCCCTGCAGTAAATCCTATCCTCTACTAGATGTCCTCAGTCCTCCGGGTTGATGCTGGGCGCTGAGGACATCCTAAAATAGCATAAATGGCACCATGAACTTACATACAGTTATGCAGAAAGTCGTGGGGGGGCTTTAATTCAATGTAACCAATAAAGCAATTCTCAGTGCTGTTTATCGCACATCACTGGAAATTTGAAGCCTGTGCTATGTAACTTCAACTCACATTGCATCCTGTAAAACATGTCGATTTCCAAGGCAGGTTTGAATCTGATCGTTGGCCATTGTGTAATTGAGGCTTTTCTATAGGTAAAACAACAAACAGGCTGCAATGGGTTTGTTTGGGATACAAATGGGCCAAAAATACCTGGTTTCAGTTTGTGGAACAGGAACCAAATTTTTTCAACTCTAGTAATTTTAAGGCTAATAGGCAAGGAGTTGTCAAACAAAGGGCATGGGGAGGTAGACGCTTACACATTTGGTGGACAGCAGCTCTTTTAATAATGCTTAAAGAGAAACATTAAAAATGCACTTTTCTTTAAATTCCTTTAAATATTATACTTGGGGGATGCCCTAAACTTGCCTTTAAAGTTATTCCTGTACGATGTATACAATGTACTACAGCAAAACTGGCATTTACAAAGCCGCAGACTCTTTTCATCACTACGATAAATTTATAAAAGAATCCAGAGTCCATTTATAGATACTATACGTCTTTTTTTTTTAAACGAAAGAAAGAAGAAAAAAAAGAATCAGCATGGGGTTCCTCCCTCACAATCCATACCAGACACTTATCTTTGAAGATGGTCTGGTATGTATTTTAAGGGGGACTTCATGAAGAAACAACAACAAGAAAAAAAGAGAAAACATGTGGTCCCACCCAAAACCCATATCAGACCCTTGTTTGAGCATGCAGCCTTCCTGGACCATACCAGGCCACATGGGGAGGGTGCCTTGTCCGGGTTCACCCTCTTCTTTTTTGAAAGAAAAAATGTCACATCGTACAGAGATGCAGATGAACAATGCCCACCGACCAGAAAGAAAGAAAAAACATCACTGATCCGGTCTCGACGTACTCCACATTGTAACTGAAAGCTCCTAGTTGAATATATATAAGGAGCAGTCTTACATAACTAACTGAATATGGTCATGACCGCATTTGAGCAATGACATCTCCCAGGAGACCTGCTGACTTAATAAAATGTCAGCAGGCATCGAGATATTGGTTGCTAAAACACTGTCTGCTGGCTTCCTAGTAATCAATGGTGGTCTGCAGCCTGTACAGTAGGATGTATTCATTTATTGGTGGTAGTAATACTGCCAATAAATAAATGAATTCCTGATACAGGAGGAGTGGGATGGCAAATTGGCCAAATAGTCCAACCAGTAAACAGACTTGAAGCAGGCAATGTTTGGGTCGAACCCAACATTGAGCCAAACCCAAAGCTCTTCTCCAGTTTGGGAATTCCTGTTCTGCATCAAGAGTATGTGTTCTTAGGTCACCAGATAACCAACAACAGATACGGGGGTGTATTGGAACACTACAGTAATGCTTTGATGAAAAAGTGATGTACTAAAAACATACAGTGTGCTCCCTGTATGCATTTTAAGGTTCAGTTTTCAAGTCTGACTAGAGTATACCTTTCAAGAAAATCTGCCATATATCAAGATACCTGTGCAAGAAGGTTCAGATAGTAGATGCCATTCTGTGCATCACATGACAGTAAGGGCCTATTCACCCTGGTGCACTTTGGTACAATGGAGTGACATTCATTCTTAAAACCACCCCAATGTCCCTCTATTGCAGTGCATTGCAACAAACGACAGTGCACTGTATCACAAAAAATACTGCAGGTGAATTTTTTTCTGCATTTTTTGTGCTTTGCAGCTTATTGAAATGAACAGGTCGCCTTAACACAATGCAGCATAGTCAAATGGCCCCAACTACGTCTAGTAAATTGCCCGGGGTAAAATAAAGGCAACTTTTATCTGATGCTTCTCCCTTGTGTTTTGCTTAATGAAAGATTCCCAATGGGAATAAGCAAATAACTGACAATATTATTAGAGCATCCAATTTTATTTTCTATTTGAAAATTTGGAAAACTTAGAAAAGAAGCATCTTTCAGCTCAACTAAATGTAGAATGATTTGCCAAAGCTAATTATGACATTTTTCCATAATTGTAAAATGTTTAATCTATAATTAAAGGTCTACTGTATGTCTTCATATGGATCACAATTATAAATATGCAAGTTTGTTTAGAAAGTCAAGTCACCTGAATAGAAAGTATAACAGGTTCCTGGTCTTCATATTCTACCCGTACTCGTTGAGCTCCTGTATTAGCATGGTCCTGTGTGTTTGCTACCACGGCACATATTGCCTGTCCAATGTAAGTCACCTACAGAAGGCAGAAAGACATTTTGTAAAACATGGATGTACCAGACAATACTGTGAAAATAAATATATGTAGTTTTCCCCAATTGTACCTCATTCTCTGCAAATAAATTTGAGTTGCTTATTCCAGGAACATCAGCAGAGGTTATCACATCAACCACTCCTGGGGCCTTTAATGCATCTTCTGTAGTAATGGATCTGACAACAAATTAAATGTAAAATGCACGTGACTAAAATGATGTATTGTCAAGCCTTATGCTAATGTACAAATCCTATAATCATTAAGGACAATAAAGAACTAGAACTTTTAGACAGATGGTATATTGCATGTATTACATGATTTTAGCATGATGTCTGGTGCTTGTAACTAATGCCAAAAATAGTTCCCCATCCACAATAGATGTATCTCCATCATCCTCTTCTGTAATGGTTTGTAAAGCATGAGGTTGGAAATTTACCGGTTCTTCCTCTTCATATGGATGAGTCATATGTTCAGCCTAGAAGGTGGAAAAGATAATAATGCCACTTTTACTGACTGTAAGATAACGACATACAGTAATTACAGCAGAAACCAAGAGCTTCTGCCTTGTGTGATTTGTATTTTTGTTAATGTTTTACTGCAAACAAACATAAGCTGAAATATAATTCAGTGTACATATGTGTGCAAACTGAATATTGATTGGATGTTGGCTTTAATAATGACGGTTTCAGGGCAAACACTCGTATGATTGATCTGGCACTTCCTTAACAAGTTAAGTGAATACTATTTATAATAGCTGCTGAGGTTTGTATATTCGCCAGCAAACTTAACTTAAAGTGAAACTGCAAAACTTTAAAAGAGAACTAAATCCAAACCTTTTTTTTGGCTTTAGTTCTCTTTTGGGTCGCAGGAGGATCTTTACTAATGTACTCCTGTGACCCAAACTCATGATACAGGCTGCTATCTGCTGGCACTGCAGCAGAGAATATTGTCAACATCCACCCCGCTGCCTGATTGACATCTGGTTCTGCCTCTCTAGAGCCAGCTGTGCTCGCCCCTCCCATGTCTGTCCTTCCAGTGGTTGCTAGAGAAACAGGAGGAAACCCCTGAGGGAGCAGTGGCTGACAGTCAATGCTCTCTGCAAAGAGAGGCCGTGAGCTAAGCAATCAGCGGTTTGTGCTCTCAATATATAGAGCTGGCATGTGACAGTTGCAATGTCACATGACAGCTCTAAGTATTGAGAAGAGAATATTTTACTCTCCCAATATTTCTCCTTTAATTGTATTTATTGTGATTAGAGTGGGAAGTGTTGCATCCCGGTTAAGTATTACAGTCCCTGTTGGCTTTATGGATAAACACTCAGATTTCCATATAGGCAGGGCTAAACTAGGCAATGGAAGCAGCCAGGTGTATACAGTACACCAGCTTACATTTGTGCATATGGACAAGCTAGATACATTTTCAATATCAACAATAGTTTTATATCAATGCAAACCCAAGAAGGTTTAAGTGCATAATACAGGCTACAGTAAACTCTTGCTTTATTGAAACAAATGTGACTGAGACTCTACAGCCTTAGGAGCTCACACTAGCTTGCCTATTTTTCCAGACAGACCTGCCTGTCTGCTACATTTTAGATTTACCAGTCTGGGCCTGCTAATGACTCTCTTTGTAGTCAGCAAAAGCAAATGAGTAAATGTCAAGAGGAAAGAAAGTAACAGTAGGGCACAAGCTTTGCGTTTGTTCAGGACGTGGTTGGTGACAACTATGATCCCTACTGTTATTCCATTGCCTATAGACCGCACATAAACCCTTTCAATTAAACTGCTAACTTGCATATGACTACTTACTTTGTTAGTGAGGAAGCCATTGGAAGTTTGCTGATGGAACTGTTTGGCTGACTTGCTGAAAACTGTTGTGTACTGAAAGTCCTGCACAAAGGATAACGTTTTTGAAATATAACTTACAAGTCTATAGTCTTCATAGAGAAACATTATACGTTCTGGAAACAAACTATTACAAAGTTACTTGTCAAAACTCTAACAACTGTGTCACACGAGACATCCTACCAAATGACAAAAGTACTTCTATTAACGCTGACATTAAACTGAAAACAACAGAAAAAATATTAAAGGGCACATTTCAAATTAAAAAAAGAAAGTAGCCACAAGCAAACCATTAGCTGCCATGCATGTAATAAAATCATTCCTTTTTTTTTTACATATTGCAAGTAATTCCTCTGTAGGACGTTGTTGCAAGTATCTGTTCACACACCATTTAATTCCAATATCTAGAGCCAGGCAACGTCTGTTGGGAATCTACTCAGGCTTGCTCATGTGGAATGGTCAACTTAAAACCCAACTCCAGAATAAAAATGAAAATCTCCCCCACACTCCCTCCCCTCACTAATTGCTAGGTTACAAAAAGAAAAACCTTTCTAGGTCCCATTTTTCCCTTACTTGAACTCATGATCATCCAGTGCTGGGTCCTTCTTCTCTCAGTTTACCCGCTTCTACTGGGTGCCCACATCACTGCCTATGTGGCTTGGGCAATTATCATTGCCTGTCCACGGGGGGTGTCCTCTCAGAATCAGGAGTACTACAGACGTTGGCCTCAGGGGAGTTAAGGGGATTGACTATCAAGTTTTACTGCACGGCACTGGATTAGCAGTCCCCTCTAGTGGAAACAGCATCAGTGAGGGATTTGGATAGGGGGGCCTGAGGTGAGCATAGTTTTTTCCAAAAAGGTAAGCAAATAAAAACACCTGTCAGGATGGTTAGAGTGGGATGGGAGGAAGGGATAATGGGGAAACACATTTTGAATGGAGTTAGGCTTTAAGTCTTGCGCTGCCAATTATGTATGCAGTACGTCGCTGGCAGTGGGCCCCTGTAAACTGATTCCCAGTGGCTATAGCTACCGGGACTTTGTTTACCTGTGTAAAGCCAGTGTGACCAGCATCATGGCTATCAATGGGGAGAAAAAAAACAGTGAACTGCCATTTACTGATTTTTCCCCGCTGGAGGTGATGCTGATTGCATCACTTCCGGCTCCTCAGCCATGATTCCCCGGCTAGAGAAGCCAGGGAAGAAGCTATTCAAGCATGATCTGTGCTTGAATAGCTTCTTTGAAGTGGAGAGGTAAAGCTAGGGCTCTAATAGACCCCTAATGCCACTGTAACGAGAACCCGTCACCACTAATGCTATAATTTATGTGAGCCCCCTATTGATAGCAATGAAGTAAAATAATAAAGTTAAATGAAATACTTTTAAAAAAATGTTAAAGTCCCCCGCATACCAATATAAACATGAGTTTGGTGCACCTGCCACCGCATGTGGCAGAGTGAGAGCAATAATTATTGGGTCATATTCATGGTTGACTCTAAACTAATGACTACAGGATTTTAAAGTGTTGCCTATGGACAATTTGGGGCACCGTATTGTTGTCGCCATTTTACGGGCGCAAACAATTTTTAAGCTTGGCATGTGGGGTATCTATTTATTCGGCACAACCTCATCTTTTATATTTTAGAAAATAATTGGCATTCCATTGTGTTTTTGTGTGCTAAAATGAACTTAAGTATAATTTTTACAGAAATGTTGGGTTTGAGTTGTGCTGCTAATATCATGCTATGTATACATTTGCATTTTATTTTACAAGTTCTCTGTGCTTTCCGTAAACATATAATTCTTGGGGGCGGGGGCAAAAAACGCTTTGACAGCAAAAGGGTTAAGGCAACTCCCACCCACCTGAATATACATACTGCCTGTAACTAGTTAAAAATCAATGTAGCTGGTGTTTGTAAAGCAGGTGCAGACCACACAATGATATAGATGGCTTGCTTCCTAAAAATGGAAGTTTACATAAATCTGTTTTCTTCTCTTCTTTTTTTTTCCATGTAATTATCCTTTAATATTAATACGGATTTTATCACATGCTTGGATGTCCATCAAGAGTTATAAAACTGCAGGACATAAGAGGGCTGTTTTTCTTGTACTTTTATATAAAACGACAAATGTTATTACCTTGAATGTGTTACTATGTGTAAGAGCATGGCAAAACACTACTATTGCCAAGTCTATATATCCCTTTAAAGGGCACCTATCAAGACAGAAATATGGAATCCGCCATTACTCACTAATTGAAAGGTGCACACTCTGGAGCTGTCATCCCCCTACTGCTTTTAAATTTCATGACCAAAAATAGACCTTAAAATAACTAGAGAGCTGAGCAATGATTTATTTTGCTATATTTTTGTAATATTAGGAATACTTCACATATTTCATGATTTTAGGATATAGATTTGCTCAGTAAAGTTTATTTTGTGAACAATTTGAAACAAGGGTGGGAGAGAAGTTGAGGGTGGTTGAATCTCTTTTTTTTTTTCTAAATCACACAACAGAAACAAACCATGACTTACAGCTGTATCAGAGTGTGGAAAATGCAAGGTCTTCTTTAATTCCTTTGACACTTGGAGGTAGAACTGAAAGAGGAAGCTGATCGCCAGTGTTCGCTCATACTCCACCATCCCAAAGGCTGATTCCTGCAGAGGGGTCTCTTCCAGAAATAATCTACAAGCTTCATCCAGCATTGTCTCATCCCATCGTCTGTAATGTAACATGAATATATTGGGGAAATACAATGACAAACAACTGCCTTACTGGAAGCAGTACTCAGACATTTTAAAGTGATATTCAAGTCAAAAGGTTTTTTAAACTATTATAAATGTTGGTTAAATCCCTTACAATTAATGCTGCACCTTGATGTTTACAAGTTTTTCTTATGAAGGAATGCAAATTGTTTTTATCTACCTTTGCTTTTGGCCCGCGTACACAGTGTTGCTGTTTACAGCTCTTTTGAATGCTACATTACCATGTCTGATTACAGGTTCTTTATGGTACCTTACTTATCTTCCTCAGAAGCCTTGAGGACATTGTTGGTATTGTTTGATCACTTGTGGATTATGTCTTGTATGTCTATAATCTCTGTTATGTATGAAAACTCTTAAATAACCATTCTTTTAAAAAAAGGTTTTAGTTTCCTGCAAAATCAGTTGGTTTTCTGAGCACTGGTCCTGATATCCTGTATTAGGGTGTCTCTTTTCCCGTCCAGGGTCCTGTAGAACCACCCTTGTGTGTGCCAGTAAGCTGTGTTTGTCTCCATAACTACACAGGCACGGCCGGGCAAGACACTCCCCTGCTCCCTGTTCCCTGTTCCTCTCTTCTCCCTTCTCCAAGCTAGTAGCTAAACAGCTTCTGGAGACTGTGCTGTCCCTTGTGATTTTCTACTGTACAGGAAGTTCAGGGGAGTAGAGCTGAGAGAGTTGGAGCTGTTTGGAAACATGATGACTGAAAATGACATTTCCTGACATTCTGCAATATTTTTTCTTTAAGAGGAAAATATCTTTACTGCAATATTGACAACATGTAAGAAAAGGGTGAATGCTACCTTCCCCATAAATTCACCTGAGAGGGCGTGGCCAGGCGCATGGAGCGGTAAGACGTGCTTTAGCTCGTCTCCCGCTCACAGGGCACTGAACACAGGCAGACAGCAGCCATCCGCTCTCCCCTTTGCCGACCATGAGTGACCGGAGGAAGAAGGGGAAGAAGCAGCATAAAACGGGCCCCACGCCGAGGGAGTTGGCCCGTTTTTTCAGCACAGCGGCACCCGCGGCCTCCAAGGCTGCCTCCTCACATGCGACCAAGATGGCGCCGCCGGAGCTCTCCTCGGCACACGCCGATTCTCCTGACAGGGAGCAGGTGAGCCAGCCTCAAGGGGATTGCCTGCCCCACAGCCCTGAAGGTCCCCAGCATCGATCCAGGTGTCTGTCACAGACCTCCCTAAGCTCCCAGGAGGGGTGGGATATGGAGACCTATATTAAGGTCTTACCCACTATGAGGGATATTGAGTCCTGCTTTGCTCGCATGGAATCTACTTATAAAAAAGAGATGTCAACCTTAAACACCTGAGATTCTCTAAAAGGGACCCTGTCAGCAGAGCTTCACGTGTACACAATTACATACCTGTAAAAGAAGAGGCAGTATATACTTACCTTTCTATAATCCGTATGCTAAAACACTGCTGCTGTACTGCTCCCTAGTCCTTGTAAGTATTCGACTCATCAAGTGGGTCAAATACCTGTTACCCCCACTGCACGCTATGGTTCCTCCCACTGGCACATACATCCTGTATTGATATATAAGCCAGTGGGAGGAACCACAGAATGCAGTGGGGAGAGCAGATATTCTACACACCTAGAAATGTATGTATCATGCAGTATCTGAAGAACAGCAAAGCAGTGTCATTTGAACACAGAGACGGCTAGAAAAGTAAATATATTGCCTCTTCTGTTACAGGTAAGTAACTGTATACAAATGACCCTGCCACAGTCACTTTAACCTATTTGTTACTATTTTCTTCTGGTTTAACTGTCAAATTCATTGCTGTTTCTACAGATTATGGAGGGTGCTGAACCTGTGTTTTTTTTTATAGAGGTTCAGCACTTCCATGGTTAAATTTATACAAAAAACAATGTGACCCCCAGAACAATGAGCCTAGGATTCAGGCTAGTATCCCAATAGCAAAGAAGCGGAGAACTATATTGACATGAAAGGGAAAATGCTGGTCAACACAGTCAAAACGGAGCATGCAAGACATCAATGTGAACAGGTCCTACTGAATACAATGGATTTATCTTTTCTTTGCATTTTGTCTGTACCAATGCCATACATACCTGCCAACAAGCATTTCACTGACGTGCTTTGCAAACATACAAGCTGATTCAGAGCCACCATAATAAATGTTCATAGACATGATGAGGTCTGTGCCTTCTTTCAGCATAACTCTCATTGCAGCAATGTCCGTAGGTGCTGTACTTCCCCATCTCTGCACCTGTCGGAAAGCTGAGACAAACTCCCACTATATGTATAGAAATAAAACAAAGAGAAAATCATTGTGAGACTAATATGTTCTGACAATTGTACTTATCTTCAGAGACAGGCAAAAATAACATTATATCAACAGAACAAGATTGTGAAACAACAGCAGTGATATGTACTTCTAACATAACACAAAACCCTGTAAACAATTTTTATTTGTGCAAAATGCTGCAAAAAAAAGAAGTGTTCTATAGGAATAGGTCTGCTCAACAACAAGGGAAATTCCTATTCAAGAAGAACTAATGCTATGTGATTATATTGCAATTTGGCTATTCAAACACTAAGCTCCTCGGTTCTAAAACACTGTATAAGCGAGGTACGTACTTGTAGTAACAGTCTTTTCTTACAGATGATTCAAACTTGTATATTATAAGCCAAGAACAGCCGCAGCCAGCATGTGACAGATGCTGACTGATTGGCCATTAGACCCCCTTGATGATGTGTCTAGGGTGTGTTTGAAACTGAATGCAAAGTGAGTTATGTATCACAATCCCCACAAAAGCCACTGACCATAAAAATCCCTTAAAGTGGGCTAAGCTGGTAACTAAATGTTTTTTAAAATAAGCAGACAACATACAATATAAAAAGCAATATATCATTTTTGATAAAGTTTAAAAGTGCTTACAAATCCTATGTAAAAGGAGGTGGTCAGGTGGTGATTTTAGAAGGCCAAACCAAGGTGGAGGATTCAGGGAACATAATTTAGCTTGTGGAAGGAGGGCTGCTCAGTTCCCCAACAAGACTATTGCAGGACTGAGCAGCTCATAGGCACAGCTCAATTACCCATTTAGCTATAAATGCTGGGGTGTGTTATTTATTAGAACTAAAGAAGCGGTTTGGATAAGCGGTGAAACACCTTAACATTACAGAGCAAATCCAGTTGAATTTGACTAACCGCTACTAGATATACCTTGACCTAGGTAGGTGAGAATCTTTGCAGACAGCAAAATACACTGTCAAAATACTTATATGTGAATGATTTTACCTACAGTTCCCTTTAGCCACTCTTGAATTTCACACTCTGCCATACCAGCCTGGTGACACTCCAATTCTGTTCTGCACTATTGTGACACCTGCAAGGCCACTAAGCTATGGATACGTTATCATTTCACAAGTCCTCCCTGTATCTTCTCTTTCTCTAAGGCTAAACAGCAATAGTTATATGGCTCAGTGTCTGAAACATATAATATACTGTAGATTAGAGGTACTGTACAATGCAATAGAACCTCTTGATCTCAGTTTGGAAGCTGCTAAGCAAAGGATTGTGGGAAGAGAATATAAATATAAGTTTCAGATAATTATACTAGAACGATTTCCAAATACATATAATGATTGTAATGACTAGCTATTTGGACTAAATGGTTAGACTTTTGTTATTGTATGAAGTTAATTTTTGCTTCTTACATCTTAGAAAACTAGCCTGTAGTTATCCTCTAAATTCCCTTTTGAAGTCATCGAAATTGAAGGACATCATCTTCAACTGTACACTACATGCACCTGTACACTACACATTATAGTTCAGGGTAATATTATCACTGCTTAGAAGTACAATCATTGTTTAATGTGAATGTCTATTCAAACTGCTGAATACTCAGTTAAAAAACATATACATGAACTGTTTTTCATGCCAAAAGTATCTGGATTTCTGTTCCAGGTGCCCTTGCCAGACAGCGTACCCAGTTCTGGGATTGTGTTGGTGACTACACTGCAGGTAAGCAATGCAGTGCGGTCTAGGAACTTGGCTCTCAACTGGTGGATCGTAACCCAAAAGTGGGTTGTGACCCCATGTTCAGTAGGTTGCCACATGCCTTCCACTTTTCTAGGTAAGAGACTCTTCAGCCTCCCCCTAGTGCAGCTCCTTTAAATCTCGCGCTGAGCAGCCATTCAAAATATGCTGCCCAGCCCTGCGTACCAGCTTGAGGTGGGGTGGGCTGGAAGTATGGCCATAAGGGAGCTCCATCCATATGTGCATTGCTTACAGCTCCCACATGTGCCCTGTAGAGGTGCCCGCACTGGACTGACGTCACATTCTGGCTCTTGGCACCTCTACAGGCTGTGCAAAGGATCTGTACAAACACATATGGATGGAGCTCCATCACCGCACAGCAGCCAAACTGGACCCCAGGCTGAGGATCCACTGCAGTTCTTATAAGGTAAGGAGACTGGGTTGATCTTAAAAAAAAAGAAAAAAATATATAATTTTCTTTGGAGTGTGAATGTGTATGTGTGTGTGAGATTTCTGTGAGTGTGTGAGATTGTGTCTGTGGTTGTGTGTGTCTGTCAGTGTTTTTTAGGGTTTGTTCACATTAGTACAGTGCGTTAATCGCACAGTCCTATGCGATTAATGCACTGTACCGGGCAATCGCACCTACTGCATGTTCTAGTGTGGAGCGTGTGTGGCAATGCCATCAATTTGAATGACACCCCAAAGCAGTACCAAGCGTTCGGGTGCAGGTGATCGGACTGTGGGTTTCCACCCACAGTCCGATCACCTGCACCCGAACGCATGGTACTGCAAAGTCGTGCATTCCATTGCAGTGCAACTTGGGCCGCGACGTAATGAGCAAGGACAAATGTGGGTCCTGAGGTTACACAGGTTGAGAACCACTGGTCTAGGACACAACCCAACGTGTGATTGAACAACGAAGGAGTAGCAGCACACTGATGAGGTCATCACCCTGTTCTCCAATTTTCTCTGTTTAATGAACAGAAGCCAAAGTGGCAGATCCTTACTGGCTTATGTCCAAAGAGATTGCGATAGGTATGCTACCTACATTCAAAACTACATTTAATGTTGTTTTAATACATCTATAACAAAATGAAACTCTGCATTCCATAAGAGTTTACTGTATGGTTCCAGGAAAGGGGCGCTGCCATAGTTCTAGTGTGTCTGCTGTGCTCCTGCCTGTTCTAGCCATGCACAACATACAGTAAATTGCCTTTATTGCCTACATTTGGATCTGTTATACTACATGTTTTGTTATATCTGTTTGATACATGACAAAAATACTTGTTAATCTTGTCAGAGCTGTCCCATGTTCTTGCTCTCTACCTGTGTTATTTCAAGAGGACAAATTAGCCCTTCCTATTCTTTTCTTTGACTACAAGTCGATTAGTCACTATGCTGTGGATAAGAAGATAGTGGGAGTGGGTAAGCAGTTTAGTAAACGACAATGGGCAGGGCTGACACCACTCAGTCCACAAAAGCTGTGTGTGGTCAGTCCACAATAGAAAATTAAGAGGTGAGGGAATTTCCTGGCAGACCAACAAGTATGTTCTTTAACTGCAGGATCTTAAAGGAGGCCTTCTGCAGAAAACTCCATCAATCTTTCTTTCTAGGTAGCTGCAGGCAGAATTAACTTGTAAAACAGTTTTGATGTATGTATATAAACTGGTCAAGGCACATTTTTCATAGAACAATTCTGTTCACTAAAGTTTATGTGCTCAGCAAATATGTGACTAAGACCTGAAGGCTTTTCTTAGGAAAGTTCACTGTCAGTAGCAGGTCAGTATCCATAAATCACTGGAAATAGTTCCAAGTAAATTAAAATTCTATATAATTCTGAATAAAATATTCCAGATGTAAAAATAAAATGAATCTGTATATAAATATATACAACTGTTGCATACTAGAATCTATTTAGTTTAAATCATATAAAAAATGAAGGGTATAGTTGAAGAGACCCTGCTATGTTATAAAAAAAAGCTGCTGTAAGGTCCCTCCAATAGAAGAAGGATTATACTCACTTTTCCAACAGCCTGTGTCTCCTACCTCCCCTTTCTTCAAGTGCTGCAACCTCCACCAGTCTCTGCAGTATTCAACATGTCCGGTAGGGTCAGATGTCATTGTTCCCCGATGAATGCTGTGGTTCAACCCTCTTACCCTGACTGGTGGAGACTGGAGTACTGGAACAGAAGGGAGGTAGAAGACACGGGCCACCAAAGAGGTGAATATACTACTACTTCTCTTGCTTGTGCCAATCACATCCAACAGGAAAGACCTGAGCTATCTAAGTAAGGCAAAACATGCATCAGCAGTTGTCCTTTTTACAGATTCAATTGGAATACATGATACTAACTTTGTGTGCTGGTTATCTTTATCATCTTTCTGTCCTGATACTCCAGGAGAAGATTTTTCTGTGCACTGGATGGGGCATCTAATACTTGTGAGTTGAACTGTGCTCTTTCTTTTGAGTAGTTGCTTAAAAGCTTAGTAGTGAGGCTTAAAGTATATTTAAAGCCAAACTTTTGTTCTAGTTTTGTTTAAATTTGGGAGGTGCTGAAACCCCTGACATGTTTTCATTTCTGCCTATGTCCCCGCTGGAGGAATTCATCCCCGTGACCATTGAAAATACTACAGTTTTCAGATGAACAGGAAATAAGGGAAAACCTTCCAAAGAGAACACCTCTTGCAGTTCCAACTTTCTCAAAAGGAACTTCTTTCGTTGGGGAGATTTCCTTTCATTTTCTTGTTGTGTCTCAAGGACAGGATGAAATTCCAAAATCTTAAAATCCTAGTGGGGCTATTAACCATTTACTACACTATTCAAAACTAAAAGAAAGAAAATTTTGACTTTAGATGCACTTGAACTTTACGCTGTAGGCAATTATAATTTGCAACTTCAGCAGGGTCCTTTGCTGTCTAAAGTTCATTTTCCCCTCATTCATCAAGCTGTAAACCGCTTCAGGCAATATCAAGCTGCAGCTGTAGTGGAAATGTCTAAAAATAAAAATGTGATGCTGATGGCTCATTTTGAAAGTTCGTCCATGTACTTACATTGTTTATTTTACTACTGGAGTGCTGAATTACTTTGAAAAGATTCTACTTGAACAAGAGCAATAACGAAGCTTCTTATTTAGTTCTGAAATCCAATAACTATTACAGCAATAATGACTGTAATATTATTCTTTATTTAATGATAATGAGTTATGATTTAGTCATATCTATTATCCATTTAGCGTTTCTTCCATTACTATTACTCTCTGAGCCTCCCTTATTATAGTAGAGTCCTACATCATGAAGTTTGCTTTTTTAATAAAGATATCTGCTCAGGTCCCCTACCTTTATCTGGCAGAATGTTTCTGTGTAATTACATTTCCCCATGTAATTTGCCTTTCTAAGTTTAATAAAAACAGGGAACTCATAACATATGAATTAATAGTGAGAAGAATAACAGAGCTATCATACTGCATTGAATTTAAGACTCAATGATTTAAAAATAATATAATACACACAACAAACATAAGAATTAACAATTGATGGCAAATTGACATTAAAAAAAACTATCCTGAGCTTGATCAATATGCCACAGAAAACTCACTAGAGTGTCTATTTATAAAAAAAATTGTTCAGCTTATTCGTTCATTGAAACTTTCGTTATAGCAAAACTTCAGATACAATTCAAGAGAACACTGGAGAGAATGAGCATACAATTGTAACATTGCGATCCTCATAGTATCAGTGGTTACATTTATATGCTCATTCTCTCCAACAGTCTCTTGAATTGGAACATTGTATTTCCTTACTAACATGTATTTATTTTTTATGATCCTCAGTTTCATTGAGTGGCCATAATGTGGTATTTTCATCATTCATTCTATACCGTATGAATATTCCTATTGAAGAACATAGGACCAGAAGAGAAATTACACTAAGGACATTTGTGTTTGCCTCATTCTCACAACATCTGGTTAACTCACACAGCATGAATGTACAGGAAATTTCACTGGACAAATAAGCTATGTATTTTTTTTAAATAGACCCCTATGACTTACTGTACGAAAGCAATAATACAGAGACATTTGTAAAAGTATGGCTGGAAACTAATATTTTTTTCTAAACTGTATGTCATTTCTTCTAAGGTTATTATTACTTATAATCCACACTTCTGTACTGGATACAATAACTATAATTAACATAACTGCATAGGTTTTGTTAAGTGCAGAAACTGCTCAGTTTTGGGCCCCAGCAATTTTAATAAAATGTCACTCACAATGTCGACCTTTTACTGCTTACTACATATGCAGCACTATGCCTGCTTCAAAGCAACAGATCAACTGAAGTCCCTCTTGTAACTATCACCACGTGTTAATATATTTTACTCTACAGTACCTTCAAAATGTAGTGATGCTTTTGTGCCTGCTCCGTACTCTTGTTCACTGGGATACTATATAATATAAATAAAATATATAAACACACCTTCTTGGAGAAAGGGACATTGATCGAGATGAGAATCTCTTCCGGCCTCAAAGCTGATGCTCCAGTTTCATCAAAAACTAACTGCTTCAGAGTAACCTGGCGTTTCCTGTCTGTAAATAACAAAGGTCAGTTAGGACTTAGGTAATATTATGGGGAGGAGTACGCCTTCTAAGAAGAATATATTAACATGTTATTGATTACTCATAAATTCAGCTACTGTACATGATTCAAGGCTCATTTAGGAATAGTGAGAGGTGAAACAAAAATCCTTCCATGTATTTGTGGTTAGCGGGTTATTACTGTAAACCATAAGCTTTGTTTCTACAGGTCACCATAGCAGCATATATTTTTGAGTTTTTATTGTAGCATTTACAGCAATCCTGACCTGTCACCTTTTCAGTTTGCACTTTGAAATACTTGCTTATCCATATTGGTATTGCATTAAATATGAAGATCTGTAAAATAACCACTGGGGGGGGGCACACTGTATTGACTCAGCCACACCCTCACCTCCTGCTAAACAACTGTTGATGTAAGATATCAACCACATAGGGAGTGCACTGTTTTCAGCGAGTCAGCATATTGATGGACATTAATTGTTAGAAAGAACAGTAAAGTACAACTATTGAGTATGTAATGAGAAAATATGCCATCCCATGTGCATACACTATAATTATAATATATACATAAAATAATTATTTTTAAAACATTAAAACACTTAATAAGACTATTTACATGCATCTTAATGTTCAGGATCTGCCCTGTAGTCAGTGATCTTCCCTAAATACCCTTCAATCACCTGAGCTGCTGGCATACGCTGCATAATTTCAAGCACTTCAGACACCACATCCAGCAAAAGCACATGAAGAAGGACTTTCAGCATCCTCCACACCTCCCTCCCCCAACTTAAGGCGTTAAGTTTCCCATCCAGCGGCTGGGAAAATAGCCTTCCTGTTATTGGCTATTGCAAATTGCAATAGCCAATAGCAGGTTAGCTATTGCACCCGACCATTGCCTGCTATCAATCAGCAGAGGAGGGAACTGAAGAAGAAAGTTCTCCTTCATGTCTTCCTCTGCTGATTGACAGCATGCAGTGGGCGCTGGGCGGGTGCAATAGCCAACCTGCTATTGGTTACTACAATTTAAAATAGCCAATAGCAGAATGGCTATTTCTCCCAGCCGCTGGATGGGAAACTTAACGCTGGCTATCTGCCGCCTTCAGAAGAGGGGGCACAGGGAGTAGCAGTTGGAAGCAGAGGACGCATGGGCACAGCAGAGGAGGAGGCATGGTGCACGGTAGCAGAGGAGGCAAGTGGCATGACAATGGAGGGGGGAACGGGGATCAGCAGAGGAGGAACAGGCACGGAAGAGGAGGGGGCAAGGGGCACAGCAAAAGAGGAACGGGCATGGCAGAGGAGGAGGTATGGGGCACCACAGAGGAGGAACGGAATGGCAGAGGAGGAGGCATGGGACGAAGCAAAGGAAGAGGAACAGGGCATGGCAGAGGAGAAACGGGGCATGACAGAGGAGGTATGGGGCACAGCAGAGGATGTACGGGGGACAGCAGAGATACAGAGCATGGCAGAGGAGGTACAGGGCACAGCAGAGGAGGTAAAAGGCATGGCAGCAGAGGAGGCTCGGGAAATGGCAGCAAAGGAGGCATGGGGCACAGCAGCAGAGGAGGAATGGGGGCACAGCAGCAGAGAAGGCATGTCAGCTGAGGAAGGAGGGCACAGCAGCTGGGGAACAGGGGCAAAGCAGTGGAGGAGGCATGGGGCACAGTGGTCTCTACTCCCCGCTGGGTGCCGGCTGCAGCGCTCTATGTTCCCTCTGATTGAAGGGGACACAGACCGCAGCATGCAGCAGCTCACAGCGAGGGGGCGAACAGAGGAGCAGAGAGGTGTGGATTCCACGAATCGGAATCAATTAATCGATAATGAGAATCGTTAACAACAGGATTGTTTTTTAAAGATGGGTTTCTGGATCCCATTTTCCCCTTCCAGTGAGTTCACAATGGCTGACAACCTCAAGTTTGTCCAGCAGCAAGAATTCACAGCTTTGCAAAAGATTAAAAAAGAAATAGAACTGGGCCGTATGACAGCCCAATTTTCATCCTCCCCCCTATTATGCAATTTTAGGGCCTCCACATTAGGCCTCATTACAAAAATAAACAATCAGGAAATTCTGACTCATACACCACCAGATCACCCGTGAACAATGGCGTTGACTAGGAGGAATCCTCAGTACAATATGCATTATTTGATAAGGTATTATCGTTGGTTAGAGCAGCAGAAGTAAATGCCCTTCTGGCAAAAACGGATATCAAGTCGGCTTTCTGCCTCCTCAAAGTACAACCTCAATGTTTTCATCTTCCTGGATGTTATTTAAAAGGAGCTAGACATGTGCCTACGTGCCTAACCATGAGCTGTTCAACTTTATGTTACTATTTTAAAATGTTTAGCAGTTTTTTTTATAATGGGGAGTCCAACAAATTTTAGGTGACTTATTCACATGACACTGTCTAGATGATTTTCTATTTGTCTGCAAATCATCTAGTACCATATGCCGAAGACCAGTTGCCAGTGTTTGAAGCAAGCTGTGCAGAATATGGTATCCCGTTAGCTGCAGAGAAAATGGAGGCAAAAGCCTATCTGCAAATAAAGTTGCGAATGGTGAGATGCATCTACAGACACAGCTTACCAGCTATAGGGAATTGGATCTGACTACATACCCACCAGCTTCTAGCACCAGTGCAGCCGATTTATCCAAATTGCATGGAGCTGTCTCAAGCTTGTATACTATCATCACCACAAGATATAGAAATCACGTCTCTATTGCAGTAGGAGCCATGGTGCAAAACAACCAATCATGTTGTCTGGTGATAGGCAAAGAAAACCAAAAAAATCTCCACTCCAAACCAAACTGATAATTTGCACTAGAACTTACTTTCTGATGCGAGGTTGAATGTGCAGTTGCCAACAGCCAGAATAGGGTTCAGGTCCCAGGTAGAGCTTTCGCTAAGAATGCTCCCTCCGAGGGACTGGAGAAAAGAAAGATAAAACATTCAAAACTCATTTCTACATTACATTTCACTTGTCATTAGGTGGCAAATAAAAGTTTATCAATCAGAACACAATTACAAAGGAAACAGTGTTAAAGCTGAACGCCAGTCTTCCCTTATGTCTTGCACAGTTGTATAGATGCCTCTGCTAAACTGAAATTGTTCACTTTGATTTTACTGCACACTGTGGTCTTCAGAAAGTCAGGCAGAGCCCACCTCATCAGATGGCAGGAGGACTTCAAACATTATCTAGCACTTTCCTCCCTAGCCTGACTGTCCCTGGCCTTTCATTCATTTGATTTCAGTTCTTTAACCATCACCTCAGCATCTCATGTGGGTGTTATGACAGCTTCCTGTCTTCCTTGTCAGCCTCTCGCAACAGCCATGATCTGCCTGCATTGCATAGAGAAGCATTGATTCCCTAGGTCTATGGGATGTAATGGGGAAAAAAGGTTGTATTGAATAATTGAATTAACATACTGATAAGGGGTTAAAGGAGTAACTAGGGAAGGCAAATTATAATCAGATTAAACTTCAGCTTTAAATAATTGTAAGTTCTATGATAAAACTACCGTATATACTCGAGTATAAGCTGAGATTTTCAGCCCATTTTTTTGGGTGAAAAGTGCCCCCCCTCGGCTTATACTCGAATATTTACCTTTATTTTATTTATTCATAAATATGTGTTTGACTACTATCTATTTTCCAACATTTTACAAAGAATGTTAGAGTTAACATTCACTTCAGTCTCTGTCAATTGTGGAGGTCACAATATTTCCTTAAAAGAGCCCTGGATGTAGGCAATAGCAGAAGACATTGAATAACTGCCACATCTTCTAGGGAAACATATCACTTAAATAAAGAAGCAGTTTATTCATTGCATGAAGCTAATAAAAACTTTTGATGCATGATTGTAAAGCCTTGGTGAATCAGGCATGCCTTTTTTCTAGCACAATTAAGAAAAAACTTTTTTATTAATGTATAAAACTCCTGCCCAGCATATAGCTGATCTAATGTCAGTGGCGCACGACACTACTGCCACTAGATGGAGCTGAGAAGCATAGGCGATTCTCACAGATTATTACAGCAAAACAAAGAGCAATAACAAAGTAACTCAGAGCTGAAAATCTGATTTCAGTGTACAAGCAAAGAAATCTGGAAATGTGCCTCTGTTATCAGAAATTCTCAGTACTGGGAGTGCACTGAGTTGTGATGACAATTCTGTAAGGCCTCATGCACACTATGTTGGTTATGTGCATTTGGAGCATTGCTTGAGTTTAGAGTATGTAGCTTCATATTATTGTGCATTGCTGTCTAATGTATTGCTGGGCTTTGTAGTCCTCTATAGCTGATGGTATTCTGCATTCTGTATAATGTATTGCTGGGATTTGTAGTCTTCTATAGCTGATGGTATTCTGCATTGCTGTATAATGTATTGCTGGGATTTGTAGTCCTCTATAGCTGGTGGTATTGTGCATTGCTGTATAATGTATTGCTGGGATTTGAAGTCCTCTATAGCTGATGGTATTCTGCATTCTGTATAATGTATTGCTGGGATTTGTAGTCTTCTATAGCTGATGGTATTCTGCATTGCTGTATAATGTATTGGTGGGATTTGTAGTCCTCTATAGCTGGTGGTATTCTGCATTGCTGTATAATGTATTGCTGGGATTTGAAGTCCTCTATAGCTCGTGGTATTCTGCTTTGCTGCATAATGTATTGCTGCGTAGTGGACCTCCGTGTTGGTTCAGTGTCTTTAGACATGCTTCTGTGCTCTCTTCTTTTGGCGAGGCGGCGCCCCTCCTGATCCACCACAGAGGCGAAGCTTGAAATCACTTCATTCAAGTCTCTCCTCCATGACAGATTAGAAGGGGTCCAGCCCAGAAACAAAGTAGCATTGGAGAATGAGGCAATTTGAATCCCCACCCCTGCAGTGAATCAGGAGGGGTGCCACCACGACAAAAGAAGAAGAGAGGCCAGAAATGTGCGGTGGGCGGCCGGGGGTATGAATGGAGAACTTTGCCCTGGCCGACGGAATATCTAGCTTTGCCACTGTGCACACCTAGACATTCAGCAGCATCTAGGAGCATTCAGTCTAGAAGCGATTACTCAAACTAGGATTTTCTGCGTTCTGGGCCTAAGTAGCCCGGTTTTAAACAGCTAAACGCGTGTAAACGTGACTAGGCCCAGGAACAACTAAACACAGGAAAAAGTGATCTGGGAAGCATAGAGTTGTTTATACTTCCCAGATAACTTCTCTTGTGCTTAAACGCAGCCAGCTCATGTACATGAGACATAACTCATGGCAACAAATCAGATTGCACATTAGTGTTGACTGATAATAGCTGTGTTTAAATTGGTTTCTATGGGTTAGTCTATTCTTCACAATGCCAATGGTCTGTGCACTGCCTTACTAAATGAATCTAAAGCTGCCCACCTACAGCTCAAATGTTGGTCTATTTCTGATAATTCTTCAAAAATTGTGGCAGCCCTATCAGGACCACCAAGTTTGACAAAATTATTTTTTTCTATTGACTTTTGTGGAAGGAGATGGGTGGAAAATTAACAGCTGAACAGTACCTAATTCTAGTTAGATTTCAGTCAGATGCCGACACTGTTCGGCTATTTGGCAGCCATGGGAGCAGCGGCTACTGAATACAATAGCCAGCAGCTTTGTCTATGCTGTTTAGCCTGGATGGCAGGACCTAATAATTTCCCTTGTTCAGCCCGTGATGCTGAATGAGAGAAGCCTTATTGTGCACGGCCAGACTAAAGACAACATGGGCTCAAAACCTAGTAAACTATTGTAAACTAGTAACTAAGTAAATCTTTACTGTTATGTAAGGCCTTGTTTAAATGGGTGGCAGGCTTCAGGCCCTGTAAAAAAAAACAAAAAAACGTCCACGGTGGATCACTTTTCACAAGGGGGTAGAGCAGTGGCTGCCTGGTATTCATGCAGTGATACTGCCCCCTCCTGAATGCCAAGGAAAATGTTATTGAACTATTGTGTGCCACGTGTGGTGCAGTCCCATTCACCTCTATGGTTGCTTGCCAAATGCAACATGCTGTATAATGTTTGCCATGCTGAAAAGCATTGGGGCACGGCAATGTATACAGCACTGTCCAGCATTGCAGCGTGCAGTGGTAAATCCACAGATCAACTGCCAGATTTTGCCGCCCATCAGCTGCCCATTTAAACGAGGCCCTACTGTGTACTTTAATAAAAAATAGTGGTATTTTGTACTTATAATTATTATTTACATATTATTTATCTGATTGCATTATATACAGAAACAGGGTTTAGTAAGTGTGGTAATTACGTATAAATCAGATGTTCTGTGACATGTACTCGGTTTAATCGGATGATTTGTATCAGGGATTAATCGGATGATTTGTAATGTGACTTATACTTACGGCTTCACTTCGTATCTGTGGCCCCGCCAATTGCTGCAGAATGACTTGGAAGAGCTTGGTTTTCTCTGCTGGTATCTGAGACACGGCTTCACACAGAAAAGATCGTATCAGGGCTAGGCTGCAAGCCGCTCCAATAGTGATACCTGAACGGACAGAATTTCTCATATTTATCTTTGTACTATGAACTGCATTTCATACACCTTAAAATTTACCCCGATGACATTCCCTGTGCTTAGAAAACTACAGTATGATAACTAAGGGTCACCATACACGTTATAATTTTGACCGTACAATCTTTGTACAATCAACTTTACGTTTACCAAACTTAATACCTAATCTAACCAATCAATTTGTATCCAATCAGAAAGGCTCTTAAACTACATAGTTTTTGGTAGATCTAAGCTGGGGCGTCCCGAGACCGGGTGTCACCCGGAGTGGAGGCCAGGTGACACCCCTCCGTGACGTCATCGCGCATGCACTGTCATCTTATTGAAGCTTGCCGGCGACCATCTTGGTGATGGACACCGGCAGAGAGAGGAGGGATGAGGTATGCCGCCGGGTCAATCACCACATACATTACAACCTGATTCTACAATCTCTTAGATCCAGTGGCGTCACAAGAAGGGTGCGGGGGTGCGGCTCGCACCCGGGTGGCGCCATTAGAGGGGTGACACCAAAATGACTGATTTTGGTGTCACCTCCTCTGAAAAGTCTTGCACTTGGTCATTGACCGTGAGCCTGACAGTATCAAGAGAGAGGAGGGGACCCAGCTGCATACCTCATCCCACCGGATGAACGCCCCCTCCTCTCTCTGCCCGCGTCCATCACCAAGATGGCCGCCGGCAGGTGTCAATAAGATGACCGCGCATGCGCATGATGTCACGGTGGGGTGACATCCGGCCTCGGGACGCCCCAGCATAATGGGCTTTCCAGTTTTACACAAAAACATGCCTATCTTTTTTTTAGTTAGGAGTTAAAACTAAGAATTAACTTATACCAAACACCTCAGAGGGTTCCGATAGATCAGATACTTAAACAGATCATATAACTGATCACACAAAATTCTGTCAGTGAAGACACCTATATGACCACATTATTCTATTATGTAGGTATCTTACGTGTCACCAAACATTCACTGCAGATAAATCTTTTTGGAGCATGTGATTCAAATTACGGTGTTTGATTCACCGCCATGATTGTTTTTTTTTTTACCATTTACATTTTATTTATCTCATAACAAATAGCAATTACAATCATATGAATACATTTTAAAACATATAAATACAAATACAAATACAAGGGGAGAACCCATTTAAAGAGCTAAGAAACTTAGACTCCAATGTTCCAGTTGTTTTAAAACAGATCAAGCTTCACAGTATGCAAATGTTCCGGTTCCCAATGCCATTGAGAATCAGAGCATCCTGATGTTACACCACATGGGTAACCACTCATAGACTACAGACAAGGAATTACATAGGGAGGAACATATAAGGAAAAGAGAAGGAAAAGGGGGGAACACCATGATTGTTTATTGAAAGTCACATTCACTACTTTATAAATATGTCACACAACGTGTATCTAAACCCAAGCATATACTGTATATTTGCAAGCACAGTTTACCAGTCCCAAGGAGTGATGGCTGCATTTGTTTTCTTTTTTAAGACTTTATTTTTTGCTTACACCTGGTGATTCTGCCAGTAACACACATAGGGTGACAACACTCACTCAGTGTATCTAGGGAGGAGCAGCATTGTCACCCAAGGACAGTAGTACAGAACAACTCCCTCACCCCCTTTTCTCCTTAACAGAGGGCAAGTGTTTTGTAGTCCACAAAAACAAAAATTTATTTTGCACAGATATAACATAACATTTTAATAGTATATTAATCAGACCAAAAGGGGGCAAATAAGAGTTCATTGTTAAGAGTCTACAGACCCTTTAATGCCCATTTACAGGGCCTACACTGGCCAGATCAGTATATTTCTATGGTGGGTAAAGCAGATGTTTCTAATTATCTGCAGCTACTCAGCCTGTACAAATCCATGAAAGGCTGCAAGGCTCCTTTGCTCTCCCCGTGCATACGCATATGGAGTAAATAGCTGCTGTAAGGGACAGATGAGAAGCCTTGGACGCAAGCAGTCAATATACAGGGCCGCTTATCTAGCTGCATGTAATAACTCATTGAATGATTACATGTGAACAACCGTGGACACTGTCATTGATGTGTACAAGTTTCCTGTCCGCAGCTAATGAGAAACACCTGGTCCCATCCGCCTCAGAAATAAGCAGATCTGGGCAGTGTACGGCCATGATTGGCCATATGAATGAGCTCTTATACAGGAGTAAGATACTGTATGTACATATCCAGTCCATGTGTCTATATGTGCTGCCTGAGATCTACATTATTTTGCAATTAGCATTACCGAACTCTTTAAACCAACCCCTGAGGATAGGAACATGGGAGCTGTCATTGTTAGTAGCCTGGAACAAGCAGTGAAGTCTGACATTTTTGAATTCCAATCCAGCATACTTTTTTCAGATCAGTGATTCATTAGGTAGGGAAGCCACAATCACATTAACAGCCCAGAAGCTTGCACGTTACATACAGGTCAGCAATGTCAGCTTCCGTATACATCTCATCACAGGTTTATGCATAATGATGAATAGGGTAGGCTATATTTTTTTAGCCTTTAAGACAGATAATTTTACCATCATACACAAAGGGAATAATTGTATAGACCAGCCAATATTGTCTCTAACGCGCCGCATCCCCATCTTAAATATAAAGGAAATTCTAAATAGAAACTTGGGTCTGTTCAGGAGCTACTCCAATAGATTCACATAGACATATTTTTTGTTTTGTATACAAGTCTCTATTTTATTGTACATAGAAGAAAAACATATTAAAGTAATATCATAAAAGCTCACGTACGTATGCTTATCATCCCATATGGGACCTATGCTCCCTGCATACCACCCTACTGACCCCACCAGTTAGTATTTCACACACTGTGATGCTATAATTTCTTTGTGTGTGTTACTAAGTCATCTAATGGGGTGGAGGTGAAGTTCCAAAATGTCCATTTAGAATTTCCCATATATCATACACGGCATCCTTCTTCAGAAATAACTCTTTGTACAATTTAACTCACTGTACACTTTTTTTATTTAGCAGAATGCAGCTGGTTCAAGGAGCCATAATACCTACGCTTAGATAAACCTGAAGGTCAAACCTGATATATAAAGCTCTGGGGTGATGTACTTGTTCATTTTTGTCCTCAGGCCTAATCTTTAACACAGATTTCTATGCTGACAAGTAGGCATTGAACTTACTAAACTGACCTGTGATTCTGCATTTCTTTGAAAATTACAGAGAACAATTCACATAATATATGACTTGTTAGAAAGAGCTTTGAAGATGTAAATTATACATGAGATAACGTACAATTTACTGTAAATCATAAGGACAATATAGCCCAAAAGTCAATTCCCTGGTAAAATTAGTTTCAGTCAGTGGTACAAAAAAGCCACAGTCACCTCGCCCAAAGCCCATACATTTTCTTACTCAAACAGCTTTCCACAAATAGACACAGTTTGCAATAGTATTTCAAATGACAGATTGCAGTTTTACGTCTGTCCAAACAGTATGTGCGACATCAAAATATGCCATTTCTATAGATATCTTTTATCTGAGTGTCTCATACAACAATTTAAAAGATGCTGTGAAGCTACCTCGAAGCTAGTTTTCTTCCCTGTTCATCCAGAGATATCTAAAATTATTTACCCTTTGCTTCTGGTAATATTTTATACTTAACATTTGTCATTCCGAATAGTGTCCTCACCCTAAAATGTATACTTGATGTCACATTTATTCTCTACATTTATTTCTGTACCTTCTATAACAATAACCCAAATGTGTTTGGGCCTCCTCCAACTTTCCCACCAGAAGTCTGCTCAGATGTCATTTGTGTGAAATATAAGATGTCATCAATAAAGTGTTACATCGCCATAAGTATGTACTTGTCAAATTACCTTTTCTGTTGTCCCCTGCAAAATATGGACAGCTGCTATCCTACTGGACCATTTATATGTGTCAAGTTTAGGCCTTCAATGGGTGAAGACCAAACCCGAATCATACAATCTGCCATTGTACAGACAGCATAAAATCTGAACCATATGCCAGTTATGATGGAGTCTTACTATATAATCTTACATTTGACAGATTTCATTTGTATCTCCATTTAAGGAACAAGTCATGATAAAAAATACACTCAAGGATGTATCCTGTACGGCAGTGGTTCTAAACCTTTTTAGGGCTGGGACCCCTTGGTAACATTTGACAAGTTGTGGTGACCCCCAACGGTAAAATATAGGGTTGACGGTGGCGTGTCGGGAGAACTGACACTGCTGCGCTAGGAGAGGGCTGAGGAGGACTCTCACCTAGCACAGCAGAAATCACACAGCGACTCACAGGTTGAGAACCACTGTTGTAACAGCTAAAATGGCAAACCATATAACACAAGCCGAGGGTGTCGGCTTTTATTATTAATAATAATGATAATAATCACTAGATGGGGACCTGTTGGAGAACTGCAGGTCCCACTCTGCTGATTGACAGCAGCAGTGGGCGGTTGCAATAGCTAGTTTGCTATTGCAATGTGAAATAGCCAATAGGAATGTAGCTATGCATTCCAATGCTGATTTAATTTTTTCTTTCTTACTGCGGCTTGGGCTCCGATGTCAGAAATAAAAATGAAAAAAACGATCGCAGCGAAAGGTTTACTCTGCTCGATCGAGCAGAGTAAACCTTTCCGGGAGAAAGTTTCGGGAGGCCGGGAGCCGCTATCTAATAGCGGCTGACACTCCCGGTGACCCCTGGCAAATTGTCATTCGACCTCCGAAGGGGTCCCGACCCACAGGTTGAGAACCGCTGCTGTACTATATTAAGACAAGAATTGTCACTATTAAATAATACCACTCACCTTTCTCAGCAAAATTCACAATGCTCAGCTCTGGAACTCTGGCTGGGGAGATGATAACTGGATAAAATGATTCCGTTAGATTGACTGGCGGTCCTGTAAAAAAATGATACTTTGATGATATGATCATGTCAACACAGAACAGGCCTATTATTATTCACATATGAACACCAAGGAACTGGTCTACCCCTATTTTTGAGAACTTCCCCTTTTCAGCTCAGCTGCAGGAATGTACTTTTTTTGCTTTACTATATAATAGAACACACTTCTACCTGACCTGGATTGTGTATACATGGTGCTCCAAAGACACACAAACACATTATTATGTGGTGCACAGTTTACCTACCATAGATGCTGGCTGCTAGTCTTTTAAACACATATGAGATAACAGGAAAAAAAATAATTCTTTTCAGTCATAAACCCAAATTTTGGAGACAAGAAGTACTACCCTGCTGTATTTTGCAAAGTGAAAAGAATGCACCTTCACCACACACATCAGAAGAAAGTGTATGAACCGCCATTACTGCTTATCAGAAGAAGGAACAACACTTGCAAGAATCTGAGTGAAGCATATAAAATGCACTTTACATACATTTTTATGTAGCCACCTTGCCCTAAGCGGGGTGACTACTTCTGCTGCACTGTAGCCAGCCTAAGCTGATTTAATAGTTCTCTGTTCATTTGGTTTCCTCTAAACTTAGGGGTCTATTCACAAAGCTGCCGAAGGATCTGGCCGTAGCTTCGGCCGATCCTTCGGCTAGCTTCGGCACCAGGACCCCTTCGGTTCAGGAGAACCGAGGGGGTGCTGTACGGCTATTCACAATAGCCCGTACAGCTCCCGATCACGGCCGAGCGGCTCAGTCGAGCGCTGAGCCGTGCTGAAAGACGAAGCCGGCCGAGCGGCCGGCCATTGGCCGGCCGACAGCCTGCTTCTGACAGCTGAATTATTTGTTGCTGCCTGCTTCTGGAAGTGACCTTACAATAGAGCAGAACATCCCATAATGTTGTGTCATGAACATGTGTGTTTCAGGAGGTCAGAAATGAAAGCCCAGTGTTGGGGTCCCACAGCTGTCCTGCCAATGAAGGGGGACAATTTTCCTGGGAGGGAGTACCAAGCAGAGTGACTTTGCTGAAAGGTGGAGCTAAGTTAGGGCTGAATACAAAACACAAAAAAGTCCCCAGCACACCCGCCAGCTAGCCTGCAACAAAACAAATGACCCTGTCAACAGTATGCGTTAAAAGCAGAGGTTTTAGTTGCACAAACCTTTGGCCAAGGCACCTTTGCAAAGTGTGGTCCTAACTCTATTTATATGAGTCTCCAAGTGGGAGCATAATAATGCAGTCGAAACATGAAACGCAGTTGTACCTGGAGGTAGCCTACTCCTCCTCACAAGGTGCATGTACGCACTGGAGGCCCAGCAATCAAAAATGCATGCTGAGGTCCCCAGTGCATCCCCACATCAAAAATAGTTAAACTAGAAAGAGATGGTAATCGCATAAATTTATAACCAGCCTTTGAAACTTGGGAGGGACCTGTTGATATTCCTGGGAGAACAAGAAGATGTCTGTTAACCAGCTAAAGTCATACACAGTGTCGCTGCAATCGGCTTAAAGGCTCGCTGCACTATGAAGCTAGGAAGTGGTCAGTAAATCTGGGGTCTGCTGTCCTAGGTGTCTGTAGCCCTTAACCTCTCTCTCTTATGTGAGCTGCTGGAGGAATAAAATCTTTGAAAACACCTTAACTGACTGGCACCCAACTTTACATTCACAGCCTACAACCAGCTAAGGACTTACCACTGATGTAAAGTGTCAGCCCACCCTGCCTCTGGTGTCCCTCATATGCATCTGGGGGTCAGCAGGGTGCTATCTTTATGTTGATATTATAAGATGCCCATAAGCCAGCAGATCAACACAAAAACAGGCCTCTGCACAATCTGCTCATTAAGCTTCCTATTTTAATATCCAGATTGTTGAAGTGGACATACAGTAGGTGCAGCAGTGCAAGCCTTTGATGTATGTGTACATGAGATCATTGTACCCTGGTTCTCCAATGTCAGCTATTGTCAGGTGTACCAAGAGTAGCTTAGTTGACATAATAGATTAAAATTAGATTCACTTCTTCTGACATTTCCCTGTGTATACGCAACTTTATATGTTTGTTCAAACACTTTAATTAAATCTTGTGTAAGGTGACTCCCTCATGTGTAAAGCGAGTCCCTTAGTGCCTACTTAATGCTCAGTTTGTAGGTTCTAATTTCTATACAATGGGCGGGTCCAGCATTGCAAAATGGACTCTTAAGTTCTCATACGCAGTTCTTGTAGCCAAGATCGTAAAGATGTGCTCTATATTCAAAAGACTGAGAAGTAAGTACAATTATTTTGAATAATTTCCACATTTGCAAAATAAGCTTATTTTTGTCAGTGTGATAGTGTTTGTTAGGTAGCCATGAGGAGAATTGTAGGGTAACAAAAATGTGCACAGATTGTAAAGACCACGAAAGGACATTTTAAGAAAAATTTCTCTTGTCTCTAGTCAGAGAGCTGTTTATATCCCTAAATTTCTAACATATTCATATACTTCAGTTTCTGAAGCTGGAAGGACAACCAATATGCAAATGTAACAGAAAGACTCTGTTAGGGTGACACCCCCTGGCAGATGACATGGGCTTCCCTGAGGGGCAGAGTCTAAGTACCAGCCAGTGTTCACCAGAGCTCCTAATGGTGGAGATGGGGTAGGCTGCTTGCTGGTACCAGGGCGCGATCCCCACGCTTGCCCTGCCAGGGGATGGACGAGAACAGGAGGGCTCCAATGAGGAGACAGAAGTCAGATCCAGGCAGAGTTCGAGGCAGGCGGCTAGCAGAGGGTGGTCAGATGGTCTCAGGTCAGCAACGATTAATCAGAGGATAAACGCAGGAGACAAGATCAAAGTCGGGTCCAGGCAGAAGATCCAGGGAGGGCAGCAAGCGAAGAAGGGTCAGATGGTCCGAGTCAGCAACGACAAAACAGCAGAAATATAAGCTCTTAGACAAACTGGAAGCTGGCAAAAAGACACAGCACCAGCTCCTTGTAGAGTTAGTGCTTAAATACCCTTCTGACAGGGTACTCTGAGCTTACCATAACAGACTCTTTTGCCAGTCACTGGTTTGTAGTTACTGGAGTCCTTGTCTGCCACACAATTGATCTGGCTTTATCATCCCTCACCCACCCTAGCATGCATCAGGTGAACAAGAGGTACGGCCAAGAGGTATGGCCAAGAGGTACGGTATGGCTCATAGAGAAGAATGTCCAGCATATTAATGGTCCCCTGCCCATAGTCACCCAATGTGCATCAGGTGGTAGTTGGGATATAAAAAGAGAACTTATGTGGTAGCCAAGAGCTCCGGGGACCACCTGGCCAGCTGCGGAAGAAGGTGCATTTCAGGAACAGGAATGCACATTTGAATTATTGATCACTAATACTCTGTGTTATTTAAATCTTAAAAATGGAGTTTAAACCTCACCTACACTTGAAAAACTGGAAATAGTTACCACACACTAAATTGGCACATATATCTTATAGGATCATGTATCAACAAAGTATTGTGAGCAATAATTTGAAAAAATATATATATAATACCTATCATTAAAATTCACAATTAAAACAACCCCGTAAGGCTAAAAAAATCAGACATTCCCTGCAAAAGAGGAGGAATAGAACTCACTTCTTCGACAACCCATGTCTCCTAGTCTCTTTATTCCAGCACTGCAGCCTTGATCAGACTCTTCAGCATTTCTAGGAGAGTCAGACTCCTGTTCCCCTGCCTTATCCTGTGGCTCCAGCCTTCGACCCCATGTTACTACAGGACACAGCAGTGAGGTAGAGGTCGGAGCCAAAGTATGCAGTGGAGACAGCGCATTCAACGTTCCTGGAAGTGTTTAATTCTGAAGAGACTAAAGGAGGCTGAATGGTGGTCGATGTCTCCCAGCTTCAAAGAGGTGAGTATAATCCTTCTTTGGCAGGGAAATTCTGACTGGATCTCTTTAACATGAATCAATAGTGTACATTAGAGTATTACAAAGTTAATTTACTATCTGGAATAAAAATGACCTTTGTTCTCATGAAGACCTGTTTTTTTCCAAACTCCCAGCCTAGGCATCTTGGGTCACATGGTCTATGGCTACCAATCATTACTTCAGATAGTTTCCAACTAGTATGTCAGTATGGGCTGCCCCTATAGACATACATATTTACAATACACAATTGTAAGGTTGTTAGTAGCTTGAAGTGACATTAAACCCTCAGATTTTTTAACATACACCAATACTGTAATGTGTGCCTTACTGTAATCCATGGTAGTTTCCCTTCTCTTTGCTGCTCTTCCTTTTAAATCTGTATCTGTTCTCATGCTCTGCAGAACTTCTGTTGGATACATGGTGTCTGTGTGTAGGTTTGCAACCTGAGCCAGCACTACAGGAAGAGGCACTCAGCTGCAAAGGGAAGTTCTCCCCCAGCATGAGAAGAGATAAGGATTTAAAAGGAAAAGCAGCAAAGAGAAGGGAAACGACCATGGATTACAGTAAGGCACACGTTACAGTATTGGTTTATGTTAAAAAATCTGAGGGTTTAATGTCACTTTAACACACAGTAATAAGGACATTTAAATTAAGCTCTCTCCATGCACAGCTACATATTAAAAGACTGTAATTGTAGGAAGCCAGATAATAACACGGGTGTGCAACACTCCACTGCTTACCAATTAAAGTATTGCCGACCACCAGGGGAGCTAGGGGATACAATGATTTCAGCTGGAGAAGCTCTGGAAGACAAGATGGAGTAATCCATTTACTCTTATCGCCCTGCAGAACCGACGTCCTTCTCCTCTGTTCTTCCGTCATTATCTGGGCAGGGATAGAAAGAAAGTTGTAACGTTCTACAGCAGGTACAAGATGTGCCATATTAATAGCAATTAAACTGTGCAGTGTGCTATGTTGTTGAGAAGAATGAGTAGGTATGATCAAACAATTTAATGCTGATCAATCACAAAATTATTCATTGGTTTACATTTCAGAAATGATGAATGGTGAATAATACAGACATGAGAGGAAAGTCATTGTTTGTATATGTTGAAACAGGAAAATTGTAATGCTAATTAAATAATTTGAAGTTACAGTATATACTGTATATATATATATATATATATATAAATGAGAGAGAGAGAGAGAGAGAGAAAAATAAAGGTTTAAACCCTCTATCAGATATAAATTGTCCCTGCTGGGGAGAGTCACTAGACATGTAAGCCGGCAAAAAATGTGTTTAGTTTCATATTGGATTTTTTGTTATTTTGTGGGATTCAGGTCCGAAAGTCAATTTGGTTCGGGATTTAGACGAATCCAACATTCTCATAAATCTCGGATGCAGTAGTATTTATGAACAAATGTTCGTTGCAGCAAAGTAACAAAACAAAAAAAAAGATGTATTTTTTTTGTAATAACAGTCTGCAGAAACATCATTAAAAAAAGCATGAGGTTCTCCCCCAATTCATACCAGACCCGTTAGGTCTGGGGGAATGCCCCCCCAAAAAAACATAGGGTTCCCCTGAAATGACAGTATTAATAACAACAACTTGACTCCCTGACCCGAATGGCATTTGGTAACTCCCTCATGCTATTCATGAAGAATTGTTTGTTATATGACAGGTCTGGTCCCGAACGTCAACAAATGAGCGGAACAAGTACCGTGACATCATGACTCTCTCCGCCCATTTGTTGACATTTGGGTCAGACCTATCATTTTGCGGCAGTGTTGGTCCGGATCGGATGGGTCAGCGAGCGCTGGGACTTTTAAATTCCGGCAAATCGGCAGGCATCGTTCAACGTGATTGGCATGGATCTACATCGCTGGACGATGTGATTGACCTTTGGATTGCATCGTTGGAAACTTTGGTGGGTTTTTTTAAATAAAAGACTTGTCAAAAACTGCATTGTGTTTTTTTTTACAATAAAGGACTTTGTCACGGTGTGGTGTGTTTGTTTACTATTTAATTTCATATTTGGTGAATGAGTAGGGGTAAAAACTATCCCTTCCTCATTCACAAGGGGGGACTGGGATCTGGCTGCCAAGATTCAAATAAGCCCCCCTGCCTGCAGACCCCCACAACCACCGGCTCAGGGTTGTGGGGAAGAGGTCCTTGTCCATGGGGGCAAAGTGCTTTCCAGGGGTTCACCACCTGGCAAAGCACCCTCCCTATGTCGAGGGTATGTGGCCTGGTATGGTGCAGGAGGAGGGGGGCGCTCGCTCGTCCACCCCCCTTTCCTGCTCTGCCAGGCTGCTCCTCGTATTAAGAGTCTGGTAGAAACTTTAGCGGGGACCCCACTTTTTTTTTTACATTGGGAGTCCCTCCGAACATTCCTACCAGACTGAAAGGGTCTGGTATCAATTGGGGAGGGGACTCCACACTTTTTTTTTAGGTTGACATTTAACAACAAAAGTTAATTCCGAATGACATTCAGAAATACTCTCGGATGCATACAAAATTTTTGTTATAAGAGATTTGGATACGTTCAGATTCTTTGATTTTTTTTTCCATTCGGAAATTCGGATGCATCCTAATGTCTGAAAATTTGTCAGAAATTCAATTCGAAACGAATCACACATGTTTAAGAGTCACCCCTTTTATGGTGACCACAGTTACTGAGACAGAAAGTGATAGGAAATGCACAGTTTTAGAGTTGTCCCCAGTGAGAGAGGTGAGGGTAAAACATCCAATGGGGACACCTGTTCCAATGAGCACTCTAAAGATGCAAGCTTTTCCCACTTTTCTGTTACATCTACAAGACGGGAACTTCCCCAAGTGGGACACACACGGCACAAAATAACCTGATAGGGGTTTAAACCTTTCCCTACTGCCTTTCCTAGTCAAAGTTCTGCTGCATAGTGGCTTAAAGAGGGTGAATCCAAATAAAATGCACATCCTTAAACTAATTACATTTAAAAAAGAATGTTATGATGGATACATAACTGCATTAACTGGTGTTCTTGTAATATTTGTTCAACTCCGAGATAACCTGGAGTCAGACTTTCATGTACATTATACAAACTCTCCATAGAACTTAATGTAGATTGCAGCAAGCATGTGTGGGCCTGATAAAGAAAAGTGTAACTAGAGGCTGTGCAGAATAAAGGAGGATAAGGGACAGGCCAGTATGAGAGGGGAGTATAGGAGGGGCCCTGGGGTCTTACTAAAATAGCTGTAAAAACATTGAAATTGCAATGTCACTTAAAGTATTAACTCTCAAACTTTTTTTTCGATAATGAATCCAGATCCAGCAAATATACATTCCTAAGCAAAGTGTGTCCTTTCTGCCTAAACAATGACAGTCATCATGTTTCCAAAGAGCCAGCTGCTACTCTCTCAGCTTGGCTTCCCTGAACTTCAAGTCCAGTACAAGAGCACAAGGGACAGAGCACATTTCATCAACTAGCCCGGAGAAAGGAGTGGGGAGCAGTGTGGAGGGGAAGGATTGCCTTGCTGTGCCTGTGTGTTTGTGGAGACACACACAGCTTACTAGCAAACACAAGGGTGGCTCCATAGGGCCCTGTAAAGGAAAGGAGCCACCCAAACACATGATATGCTAGCCAGTGCACAGGAGATCAGATGATTCTGCAGGAAATTAAAGCTTTTAAACATCAAGGAGCAGCATCCATTGTAAGTGGTAAGTGTTTGGAAAAGCTCAAAAAACTTTTGACTTTAATATCAATTTAAGATCTGTCAGCAGCAATAGATTTCAATTGCCCAGTGTCGCCTAAGTCCTAGTTGCTATAACCGATGAGGCTTGTGATCTTGATGTTCAAAGAAGCAGATTATGCGAGGGATGTGAAATTATAAAGACATTATAGATCACGGACCATCATTAAAGTAATTTGCAGGTGCAACAGAGAGAAATCATACTACCACCCCCCCCCCCATGTTTTCTCCCTTCTTTCTGCACATAAGAGCAGCACCATCTTTTTAATACATCACCCAGCATCTGTTGGAACACTCACCTATAAATGATGCAATCTTGTGAATCCTGATGTCTGTGCGGTACACACATAGCTCAGTCTCTCTGCTGACTCTCACTCTTTGACCTGCCAGTGTAAAAATCCTAATCTGCATTGACCTTGTCCAGACATATTCACTTATAAGAGAACTATGGCCCAACCTTTTTTTGCCATAGTTCCCTTCAGGCTCACAGGAGGACTAATACTATACTAATGCCCTCCTGTGACCCAAAACCTGATTGAGAGCTAGCCAGCCAGCTGTGCCCGCCTACTCCCCTTTCTACAGTCAGCACCGGAGGAACATAGAGGGGAGCAGGGAATCCCTGAGGGGAGCATTGACTGACAGTCACCACTCTCTGCAGGAAGAAGCTCGGGAACTGAGCGATCAACGGTATGCGATCACTCACTTCTCCATCAATAGAGCCAATGTGTGACTGCTGCAGTGTCAAACGTCGGCTCTAATTGTAGGGATGAGTGTATTTCACTCTGCTCATAATTCTCCCTTAACTAAAGCTGTTTATAAACTATAAAGGCTGCACTTATTTTCCAGGAAATGACAGCGTTGCTGTATGTTATTACATGTCAGAAATGTATTCACGCAGGCTTGTGAAGTTGCCATCTGCTTTTAAGTAAGCCGGCCATCATGCAAATGAGAGCAGTAATTGCTGATGTTTTTATCAAGTGTTTCTTTTATGTTCATCCTGTGGCTTCACTACTTACTAAGTCAGGTCAAGGCATGCAGGTCAGGACTTCCGATTTCACTATTTCACTGGATACAGGCTTGTTCCGGCCTTCCGGGTCAGTGAAGCCCCAGATAGTGAAGCCGAGACAGTCAGAGAAGTATCAAATTTTTTTTTAAAGTGATGTAATGTTAAATAATGTTATTATGCAAAGGAAATATGCTCATTAGGGCCTGTTCACATGAGTTTCAGGTCCTGATCAGGTCCGGATCAGGTGCGGATCTCCAGTCGCGGTGCTATGTGTTTTTGCCGCGTTTTTGATGCGTTCCTGTTAAAAAAAAGTGGTGCTGTCAGTATGTTAGCTGCAGTGCAGCGCGTTTTTGATGTGTTTTGCGTTTCCGGACCGTTTCCAGACCGGTCAAAATGTGACATGCAGTATTTTTTCTGTCGTAACCTGAACGGACTGCGCACGTGAGAACTGTAGCCCATAAACCACATAGGGATACATTGGGATGCATTTTTAGTGCAGCAGCGTACGGATCAGGTCAGCACAGAAAACGGACGTCGTGTGAACAGGCCCTAAAGGTAAAAATTGAGATTCCCTACTAAGACAGACTTTTGTGCAGACATTACATAGTTACATAGTTGCATAGTATTTGAGGTTGAATAAAGACATTAGTCCATCAAGTCCAACCTATTAGGATCTCATTCTAGGAGTACCCGTACCCCTGTATATTACGGTCCCTTAAGAAATCGTCCAAAAGTTTCTTGAACAATTCCACATTATTTGCTGAAATCACCGCCTGTGGCAGTGAGTTCCAGACCCTAACTGATCTTACTGTGAAGAACCCCCTTCGCCCCTTGTGCTGGAATTTTTTTTCCATCAATTTTAGGTGATGGCCTCTAGTTTTTGTAACGGAGTTAATTTTAAACAGTTAGGCGGCACGTCACGACCCACCTCACAGCATCCTGATTGGTTAGGAAGCCGACTTCACTTTTTCCTAGGCAGCGTGGCTTCCTGACTGAGCAGGCTGCCTAACAAAAGGGAAACAGGCTTCCTAGCCAACCAGGAAGCGGGCCATAACCCACCACCCGGCTTCCTGATTGGGAAGGAAGTCGGCTGTATGCTCCCTTGGCACTGCCGGTCAAAGGGAAATCTCCCTCTGACCAGAAGTTCC